CAACCTCTTCTTCATCTTTATATAATCTTACATCAATAGTATGACTCATTCCAACTTCACCCATTAATTGTCTCTTTCGCTTAATTTATCAATGATAACATCATGAAACTCCTTCTTTGCAATTTCCAAAATCTCTTTCAATGTGAATTCTACCTTAGTATTTAATATACGTTCTTCCAACATCTCTTTTAAATTTGTTGCCACTTCAATATCAGAAAGTAGCTTATAAGCAATTGATTTTTTTTTATCTTTTGTCTCATTTGTTTTTTCTTCCAATCATACTAAAGTATCCTTTATAGGCAATTCTTGTGAAACTGCCTCACAAGCCTCATTTCCTCGAGTTTGCCTCTTAGAAGAATTTCCTTCCCTTGTATCATCAAAATTTTCTTGTCTCTTTTCTTCCATCAAAGCTTCATGTTGGCTCTTAGCAATATATGCATGAACTGAAAGAGACTCAACACGATCTTTGCAACCTGTTGCACCTCGTATTGTAGCTATAGTCCTCAATAACGCTTTTCGAGGTATTTTCTACTTTTGCATTGTAGAAATGGCAGAAGCCCAAAATTCACTAGTTTCCATACTTCCACCAAAGTCATCATCTAATCTAGTGCCATAACTTGCACTCTCTCGTGTTGCTATTTCATGTTCTTTTAAATAATCTTAAATCAATGCTCTCATACCTCCTTTGCTAAAATTGATTTGAAGGAGATCCTCTATATCCTTTAATGCTATCTTTCCATCTTTCTAGTAAATAATTCCTTACTGTACCATATTATTAAATTCACTGCAATCCTTTCTAGTATGTGAAACGTCATCATACCAGATATATCTTTGTACATACCTTTGTTTTGAAACATTCTTCAAATTATTTGTAGAAGCATTTTCTTCGAGTCTTGTTAATTTGATTTGAAGATCTCACATTCTACGTATAATTTTTTCAATCCCCATGTCTCCTTTCTTTGATAAAGATGTTGAAGGTTGAATAGTAAGCATTGTTGGTCGTGTTGTATGTACTGGAATTTTAGGTCCTTGTACTCCTTTTGGAATATTACTCCTATCCTTCCTCTTTTCTCTTTTTGCAAGCAAATCCACCACATTTTCAACATTTTTCTACTTTGTTGTCAATCCTTCATCTTCTTCTTTGTCTTCAAGAAGCAACTCCAATTTCCCTTGTAATTCTCCATCAACAGCTTGAAGAAATAATTCAACTTTGTTCGGCTCTAATGTCAATTTTTCTACCTTCAATAATTGATAATACTGCCTCTCAAATTCCCTTAGTAGCTCTGTTGCTTGCAAATTCTTATTAGGCCGCTCGATCCATTCTAGAAATAGTTTCTTAGTAACACGATCAATGTCCTTCAAGAAATATTCGTCTTTTAATGCATGCAAAAAAATCTCCCATGAATTTCCATAATGTTCCATAATTGAGGTAATATGTTCTCTTATCTCCGGTATCATGGCTAGTCCAAATAATTCAACCATCTTCTTCTCAGAAACCTGACTTAATTCCATTTTCCAAACATAGCATCTTAAATACTTTGAAATATCCCTTCCATCAAACTGGTCAATTTTATTGACCACTGCTTGCAAAGCTTTGGTTGCTAAAGCTTCTTTGTGATCATTGCTTTGTTGTTGCTGCAGAGATAATGATAAGGCTTGAAACATACTAGCAATGGATGGATCCATGTACATATCTTGCCTTTTAGAAGAAACTCCATCACAAGCTCCACTTGAAGTTCCTCCCAAAGATCCTTCAAAATTTTTAATCTCATTCTCCATGAAATAAAATGAAAATAAACAAAATCTAATACCTTCCACCTCAAGTTTTCACGTTGCATTCACCACTTATGTCATATTACGTGCTATCTTCCTTGAGAATGCACTGGGCATTTGACTAAGGAAAATAAAACAATATTTTGCAAGTATCTAGATAGGCTAGTGGGTTTCAACCATCTAAATACAACTATTTCAGATTTCAATGTAAAAGCTTAATGCCATTAAAAATTGCTTAGAAATACTATTTTAATAACTTCAAGATATTATAAGCATAAGTCTTTTGTTATTTGTTAGTTCTATTTTATTTTTTTTATTTTTATTTTTATTTTTAACCCTAATCCTAGATAGTGAGCTTCGACAAGCTATAATTCTCAATATGACCATCCGATGGTTGTAAACTTCTACCACTAGTGTCTTTGCAAGCCTTCCAAATACTCAAGAAGTTTCAATCTAATCTAACTTACAAGTTGCAAGAAAATGCCATTAATCCACACTGATGTATCTTGACCGCAACCTAAAAGTCCTTGACTTATCACGCCAAAAGTCACCTTATTCCAGCCAATAGGTCTCCAGATATTACAAAAATCCTAAACAACCTCAATCTGCTAACTTTCGATACCTCTTTACATTAATGGTCAAATATCCTCTATCTGTTTCGTCAGATTAACACAACTTTTTGCATGCACTCGGCATACTCAATCCTCTTGACTCCTCTAAATTTCAACTATAGAAGTTTTTCCAATTTCACAAAACAGTCAAGAGTATCAGCCTTAATTTTATTGCAAAAAAAAAATCCAATTCATCAATACAAACACTGACTTTCAGCAACGACTGCCAAAGTCCTCCCAACCCCTATGAACCCAATTCTACACCTTTCGAAGGAGCTTGAAATTATCTCTTCGACCTCCAAAATCCTGATCTCCGAATGCCTTTTTCTTTCTCCTCTCCTCCTTTTTAACTCTGTGCGGTCTCCTTTTCTCCTGCCTTGGACTCCGAATTGGAACAGTCGACGGCTCTTCCCCGAAATTTATGTCTCTAAGAGGATCTTTCCACATAAAGGACGTTTCCCCCAAAACGGCATATAGAACGGAACAGCTTGAAATGGAACTAAAGCCTCCGTATTCGGGACCTCATTGGGTTGCCCAACCAAGTCAGGTCTTATACTAGATAAGAGGTCCATACCAGGACCTGGATTGGATGTCTCCGTAATTGGATCAAATTGGCCCTTCATATCAGATTCACCCAAATATTGAATTGGTCCTTTTTCTTTTTGCCGACTCTTGATAAGAATGGCTCGGATTCATTTTCCTCCCCCCCCCCCCCTGATTTATCGAAGAATCTTGAGGACCTTGATTTATCTCCTCAATTTTTCCTTGGCTTTGGATTTCCTAATCCCTCTTATTGAAATTGGACGGAGTATTATATTATTGATAAGTATGCCTCGTCTGCTTGCAATTCCTACACACTGGCGCATAATCATCATTGGCTTTGGGATTGAAACATTCACTAGCATAATGATCAACCTGTCTGCAATAAAAATGACGATGTGGTCTTCTTGCACCTCCATCATGCATATTGGGTGTCTCCACTGGTATATACCTACTAGGCTTGTTCCATATAGGGTTGGAAAATAATCCTAGTTGTCCTGTTGGTACGGAGGGTACTTAGTTCGATAATGTCGGTGGCGTGACATTAACTGACCCTGAATATTGGCACTAGAATTGGCCACTGTTTCTAACATCCAAGATGACTAAATATTAATAATATCTTTTGCATTTATATTTTCATCATATAGTCATGTTACAACACGACACCGTTCTATAAGATCTCCAACACATGTCCAATTTATAAGACATGTACTTTAACTTATAAGTCAAGTTTCCTATGTCTGCACCATTTCATTAGCTTATCCTCCAAGCTATCAATACACGCAACACATGGCTATCTTGTTGGCCAAGTTTCTAACCTATCAATTATCTATAAACATGTATAAAGGTGAAACTACATCTGCAAAGCTTTTAAAAAGCTTTTGTATAAGATATTATCAAATTAACCTACTTTTATCTATTCATAATTTCTAGGCAATTATTAAAATAAATATATATATATATATATATCATAGGTATTTATAATCTAAATTTGAAAACCAAAATACTATTAATTTCATTCTATGCAATATTAGTTTTAAAGTCAAGAAGAAAATAACTTCAATTATTTGTAAATTAGATTTTTTTTTTTTAAACACAAAAAGTACAAAAAAACACCAAAAAAAAAAAAAAAAAAAAAAAACACATTCACCTCGAACTGAGAGAATAAAGATCCAAGTCACATTATACCTATACCACACCAAAGTTTTATGTTTAAAACTGATTGAATTAAATCATTACAGAATACTATTTTAAATCAGATTTTGTTAATATTAGCTACATAAATTTCCAAAGGATTTAATGGTAAATAAAAGCATCAGTAATAACCTTTTGTGGATAATTAAAATAAAATTTATTTTTATTTTTTGAAAATGACATGAACTATACATATGCATAATAAAAATTCGTTCAACAACCATATATTTTATATCTAAATTCCTCATTTTGCTTGAAATTCTCAAATATTAGCTTATCATCTTTTTACATTAAATTTCCTCATTATTTCTGCTTTATTTTCATTTTTATATGGTTATACAATACTGAGAAAATCTAGTTTAAAATATTCACTTTAAATAAAACACAATTGGTCACTGTCCTTAAAATTCTCTGATTGGCTAGATTTTTCTGTCTGTCCTTGAACTTTGCAGAATGGATGAATTTTTGAGAAATAAAGTTAATTCTTGATTAATGAAATTTAAAAAACCAAAAGAATCTAGCAAGAACTATGTTTGAGATTATTGAAAGGGTTTCATTCTAAAATGGAGATTTAATTACAGGTTTGCAACTTCTCAAAATTTATTTCGAATTCTAATTTACTAGTAATCGATTTGTTATTTTTTTATTTTATTTTATTACCTTTTCTTGTAAAAATTTTAAAATTTCATTGTTTTTACAAAAACATCATATCCTTTACCGTGGCACATAAAGTTTCAATTCTGGTATCTCCAAGGACCTTGAAAACATCAAAAGTAAAAGCTAAGTAGCTGCGATTGAAGGAGTCACGCTAAAAGTGAAAGGAGTACAAACATGGCGGTGGAACGCGATGAACGATGAACGACGAGGCGTACTTGCTCTCTTGCTCCATTCCTTACTACAATTTCAGAGATAGCGGCACTACTTGTCAGCTTGCATGCTCTGTTTTTCCCCAGTTATGGAGTCAATTGCTTCATCCTCGGTTTCTAAAGTGCTTGTGATGCCCACTCTTTTCCCACGTGCTGTCCTTTACGGACTTGCTTCGAAAATCACCACCCTCCCCTGCTTATACTACAAATTCGGGCACATTGTCGTTCTGGACTGTGTTCGAGCCATTGTGAGCCTTTCTGGTGCTTGTTTCTGTAAGTTGGTTGACAAAACGATTTGGAATCATTCCTCTGCTGGCTCAAGCTCTCCCTGCTTTCGGACAACAGTACACTTGCCGTCTTGTTGTTTGCTTCAATTTTCGTATGCCTGGTACGTAGGATGTTTTTCTTTTTCTGCTTCTAGGTTAAAACGTCGGGGTTACAGTAGAGGCACTTTAGAGCTGTAGCCCTTGGAGGCCGCATGGCTAGCGTTTTGCGCCGTTTCTTGAAGGTGCCGCCGAGAGAGCCTCTCCTTGAATTAGAGGCCGATTGGTCTGCAGTATCTCCTGCGGGTTTAGGGTTATTGTTCAAAGAGTTACTGGCTGATTTTATGGGAGCTCCACCGCCACCCGAGGTACTGGAAGCTCGAGAGTTTTACAAACGGGCATGGAAGACCGCAAATATTGCAGACATCTATTTTCGGAATCGTCACATATTCAGTGCTACCAATCCAGGATTTCTTGTGCGAGGAATTATATATGACATGCCATCCCTCATTTACAGAGATGTAGGCCTCCACAAGCTTGTTTCAATTTCGCACTTTTGAACGTGTTTCTGAGTGTCTTATTTACCTGCAGTATTCGCGTTTACTAAAGTAGTGATTCTCTTGTTTTCGATGAAGTTGGACGGATTGAAATCTGAACGCGGTTATACTGGGATATTTTGACACAATGTACTTGAACTGAGTTATTTGCTCTCCAGACTGGATCTGTGTTATCTCAAAGTTGCGTATCTGAGTCCTGAATTTATCATGAAGCTTTTGATTGATCACTATTTTGCAGCACAAGGCCCCGACCAATACGTCAGAATCTATGCTCGCTTCGAGTACCAGCTCTTCGACATCAAGTAGTACCGCAGAGCCCGTGGAGAAATACGATGTTAAGCGGCGAGACTGGTCTTCGTTGCTACTTGATTTCGACACAGTCGAAGCGAAGAATAATACGAAGGCTGACGACACTGCAGTGTCCGCAGACCAAGTAATGGAATCGTTAGGGTTGAAGGCAGTTGTACCTGGGCTTAAGGATCGTGTGGGGATAACGTTGCCTGGGCGAAAGGAAATGAAGCCAAGATCTAAAATGGAGGAGAAGCAAGCACTGGAAGAAGTTATGGGCAGAGGTGAGCAGCTTGGTTGTATCCTGATTGCTTCTTTAACAATTTTCGTTGGGAATATGGCATTCATATACTACCAACAATCGTGATTTAAAAGCTCTATTCTTTTGTTACGTATCTTGCAGGTGTTGCGTTTTTCCCGACTTCATGCATGTAGCATGAGAACGAGTTTAAAGATAGCTATTTGATATAGACAATACTCGTATCGATGAGCTTTGCCATGGAGAGAATGTCGCCCTGTCTTAAGATTTATTTGGATGCGCAGGAAGTTGCTATGTTCAATGTATAACATTTTCGTGACGTTATGATTGTGGATAGGTGATAGCATTCGTGCAAAATATGCTGCTAAGATTTTTCAGAAGAAGATGTTAGCTGAAGCAAGACGTGAACAAGCTAAGTTAGGTATTTTTCTGACTGCAAGTCCTAGAGCTTCTTCGAAAGGATGGCAGGCCATGCCAGGGGCGCCAGCACTCGTTCGTTATATGGAGGTTTTTCTTTTTTCAAAGTCAACTCTCCACCCGTTTTATTTTACTAGAATTTGTCATATGAGTCGTTTCTTCGTTCAAATATTCTAACACTTCGTAAAGAGCAAAAGTTGTTCCCCAACCTGGTTCTATAACGCCACTATTAGAGCACGTAATGTATTGGTTAAGATTGAAACTCTCTAAATTTCATTTGGCTCTGATACAGCATATTTCCTACCCTTCAGTTTTTGTTGCAAAATTTCTCACTGCAGAGTACTACTCATTTCAGGAACGTGGGTTGAAACAAGCTCTCTTAGCTCGTGGATCTGAGGAAGACCTTACTTGTTTGTTGGACCAGTTGGGCAATTATCAATTTCAACATATTACCCATTTAAGCAGCGGAAGCAGTGAAATGGCATTTGGAGAAACTCTAAGGTGATGAATACGTCATTTGTATTAAACATTAGTAATTGTTTTAGAACTCGTCCCAGTTTTTTATAGTACTACCTTTTTCTAAACAATACGGTACACCTTGTCTTCATAAGAAAGTGTTGTAATTGTAATTACTGAAAAACTTGGATTTGGTCATAGTCAATGTCTGATTAGGTACAGCTTTGTCAGAGTGCGGGCTATCTCTGTGTTGAAAATGTTATCTTCTAGTAGTAATATTGACAACTGTGGTTGAATATTTTCTACAGCAATGAGCAGTTGAAGAGAGTATGCACGAATTGGGCGCTTCCTCCTAAACAAGTTATGGTGGTGAGTGACACACATCTGAAGTTTTCTACGACAAGACAAATTTAGTTCTAATTATGATTTTACAGTCGTGATGGCATTACTAACATCCTCGCGGCATACTCATGATTGGTTCTGGTGTAGTGGTTTATAAGATTTTCTTAGCTTGATTGATACATGTTATGTTCAGTATTCCTGCTAGCGAGGTTCTGCCTGCTCAGCATCACAATATCATCTTTAATAGCAATTGTTGACATGTAGAAAATTTCCAAGGCTGGTAAGAGCAGAGCTTCCATATAAATTTCGTGCAAAATTTGGGTGGGTTTAATCTACCTAATATTGATCTTGCTGTTTTCGCTTTTGACCAGGTGATTGGCAGTGGGGCACCGGGCAAAGCTGCGTTGGCTGCTACTGAAGATTCCGGCTTCTTTGTCTGCCAAGTTAATAATTCTCCTCATGAGGTCAGTTCATTCTCATTTAAGACACGCTTTCACCAATTGATGATATTCTAGCATTATATGAAATCTATTAGGAGAAAATGCTTTCATGAATGCATAAATTTCTTATGTTTCATTCTGTTAGTTTCGCTCAGATCACGAAGTGTCCCATGCTGGTGGCTGAACCAAATTCAAGTTTGTGAAGATCGTCACTGGTTTTTTGTGATTAATTGTGATCTTAGAGGTAAAGGCTGGTTGCTTTGGCTGAGTGAACAGGACAAGCAAGAACAAAACATCACAGAGACACTCGGAACCAATGCCAAGTCCTCAGTCCAAAAGAAGGGATTAGTTTCGTGGTTCAATCAACTGAAGGAAGGTACTCTGCATGTGGATGAAGACAACGACTCAAGAATGCGGCATTTGTTCCCCAAGGGGCATATACATTTCTCAGTGACAGATATGGTTGAGCTAAAGTGGGTGATTGAGGATCTCAATGGTGTCTCGTATCGCAAGAGTACACTGATAAGTGGATTTCAAGATCTTGGACAAGGAGCGAAGCAGTTGTAATCTTGGGGCTGTTATCTCCTTTATTATCAAAGATCAGAGATGACAGTCTTGTTGTATGGCTGTGCTTCACAATGAGTGTAAAAAACAGGGAACATTAGATAGGAGATTTGCTTGGTTGAAACTGGAAGTTGCCTTCCCTTTTGGAATAAGGGGAGTAATGTACTACATTTATGCATAGGTGAAGTTACAGCTTCTCCTTGGTCTAACTATTGAATATAGTCTCTAAACATCCTCCAAGATTTTTCATCACAAATGCCCAAGTTGATCTTCAATCAGCCATGACATCACTGAGTTTTTAGTAATGAGTGGAATTGAATTAAGTCGTTAGATTTTTCTTCATGAGAACACTGACATGAGTGTTAATACGAACTTTAAGATTGCAAATTAATTACAAAATCGCTAAGGAACAAAAATACAACGTATGAAGAGAAGCTCAATTTCACAAGCCAAAATCTACATTGGGAGTGGGACATTTCTTTAGTTCATTTCGTACATGTTAGGAAAGCACAAAATTTGACACTGTTGTCCACAGATATTTTACTTTTCTTGGAAGAAATGGTCTTGGACAAACGGTTGTGGGGACCTTCAGATGCTTCACATACTGCGACTATCCATTCAAGAATGATGCAAGAGGAACTTCGAATACAATGTTGCCAAAAAAAAACTTTTTTTTTTATCGAGTTGTTCAATTCAAAGTTTGCACCAAGAAGAATACACTTTATTCTTAAGGCATGATAAGGTGCTTCTATCTAGGTGAACAAATTATAATGGATGGTTGTAGCAAGGTATATTTTTTCTTGTCTGCCATTAAGAGAACACTGCAAGACCGAGTTGCAGCACGTTTCACAGACAATAATATCCTTATCGGCCACTAGGATTAGAATGATTTCTTGACTTCAAAGACGGGGGAATAAAGTTAGGTGTTTTCATCCATCCATCTATCTATCTGTTTGCACTGATGAAATTTAACCTAAACATGTGAGACAACAAGAGGTCATGGAAGCGAACTGGTGTAAAATCCACATTCTAATAGTCTTGATTCAATTCTACTTTACACAGTATGACCTGGTGTTACACGAGCAGAAGCAATGCCTCGAAATCTAGAGTTACTGCTTTGCTGCAAGTCAACCTACTACCTCAACAGGATAGTTTAGAAGCTGGATGTCCTAGCTAATCAAATACATCCAAGACTTCTTGAATCAAGATGCAGACGATTGTAGGTTCTGTTACGATAACACGTTCTTGTAAACTTATAATTTCATGCGGCCTAAATCAACAAATGCAGAATTTATATAACTTACAGATACACTCGCAAGGGAGCCTTCGGCATTTACAAAGAAAGCCACAGAGCCTCGCACTCATGGACATAACACAAACCCAACTGACTCAGCAAATGTCTATGCACAGGAGGCAGATAGCGCTCAATCGACACAGATGAAGTGAGCATCGGCATTTTGGTCCGTGCAGAATAAGCATGGGTGCTGCTTGAAGCCAGACTTAGCTAGAGACTCGCGGATCTGCAACACGAGGTCACGGTTGGTAATGGGGCCATCGTGCTTGGCCAACACTCCGATCAATGCATTGCTGAATGCTCCATACGATTGCGAGTGGTCGCCGCCAGGTGTGGCATCGGCGGACGTCTCGTTGTGCTGGCACCCACTTACCAGAATGCCCGCATCTTCACGCACGCGATGGCTCGCAGATGGTCGCACTCCAGCGTAAGCAGATCGGGGATTGGAAGGGTGCGCGCTCCCGGCTGCGGCCATGAGGCTGGAGATATGATCAGGTGAATCAGATTCCAGTTTGGATTTCAGAAACTGGCCCGCCATACCTGACACCATGCCCATGAATCCGCCTTCACCAGCTCCGCTCTGCACATCAGCAACATACATAGCAACGTTGAAGAGAGAACGCCATAAATTCTTAGAACATTACAAAACAATGGTTAAGGTGAACTTCAACATCCAAACATCCACTTTTCAGCTAAGGAATAAGATGTTTCCAAAAGTAGACACACTACTCAGTTCCTGAACTAATTCAAGAGATTTCATGTTTTAAAAGAGGCTTCACTTCTTCGCCTGACAGCAGATATAATTATCCAGAATTGCTCGATCAAATGCATAGACATCGAGGAATAGAGTTCACCTGAAGCTGGTTGAGGATGACGCTCACAAAAGTTTTCACTTTAGGGCTGGCATCGTCCCCGAACATGTCGAAGAGGGTGGTACGAATGTTTCCGACTTGTACTTCGTGCCCAGTCCGTTGGCTCAGGATCTCAGTCAATGAGTTGATATCAAGATTCTTGTTCTTCACTTGGTGGCCTGTCTCTTCCATGTACTGGGACTCAAAGTCAAAGTTCTGGGTGTCAGGCCTTTCCTCCTCTTTTCTCTTTCCTTTGTGGGAGTCGTATTTGGCCTTGGCCTTCGACAGAAACCCTCGGAAACCGCGTTTCTCCTCCCCTTCCTCCACGTCCTTCTTGCTGGTGAAGGCATCAATGCCATGCCCAATTAATCCGATAAGACCGCCTCCGTCATTATCACCGGCATTCGATGGAAGACTGGCGTAATTCACAACAGTATGGCCAATCTGCTCCTTTGTAGAGTCAATAAGACCACCACTGTGACACGAGTCCGACAAAAACGTAAATGTCACTCCAACGGGAATTTTGTTCACCAGTTCTCTGAAGTCGTCATCTGCACACACGTGGGTTCACACATATTAATATGATATCATCCCAAAGTTACGCTCAGTGCTGTTCACTAATGTAAATAGGATCGGCAGGGAACTTGAGGAAACCGTTTTGTGTGTAAAAGGCGATGCCTCAACTTGGCAATATTTAAGTCACCAAGATTACAGATATAAAATCTATATGGTGCAGTAGCCGAATAGAACACCCTGCAAATACCTTTGAACGAAATTTAAGTGCTATAGCTATTGCCGAAAGGAACGTACTCAGTATCCGTGACATGAAAGCGGACCTGTAAGAAGATTCATATCAGTGGGTACAATGGCCTCTTCAGCTCCAGTGTCATCTTCCTGACCCGACTCTGCAGGAACCTGTTCAAAGAAGACACGGATTTCAATCAACCACATCAATTCCCCTTGAGAGCGAAGATCATAGTTTAACCACTGCATTGTAGAACCCTTCTCACACACACCACAAATTGGGAACAGATTTATTTATCCTATTACTATTAGTGCTGCGATTTTAATTTATTCGCGAAAAAAAAGAATCCCACGTTGTAGAAGCTGGAATGAATATATCCATACCTGCGTGCCATGGCCACTATAATGGAATACCAAGCAATCTCCGGGCTGTGTGTTCTCAATAAGCTTGTCCAAACATTTGCGAATATTGGCACCGGTGGGTTGCGGCAGAGCCGGATCAGTGTCCAACATCACCAAAATGTCCCGCTCATCGAAACCAAAGCGATCAATGAGCAGGGCTTTCATACGCCTCACGTCGTTGGCACATCCGTGCAGCTGAACCTTAGTGCCAGGGTAATTACAACCCACCAGCAACGCACGCTTCGACATTATATTTGCAGTGCAACAAGCTCTGCGCTACCACACCTACAGATTCCAACTCTTCCCGTTAATACATTCAGTTGACATTATCAACCGAACGTCTTCAGTGACTTGAAATTCTTAACAAGTTTTGTCTTTTGAAAAGCTTTATAGACTTTCAGGTGGAGTAAGACAACTGAATGAGTTCGCTCACCATAATATTTGTGACACAGAGACCGACTCCCAAAACAGTCCACATTAAACAAAATTGGGATCCACCAAATAAGCCCGATCTAAAGCAACCAAGAGCAAATGTCAACAGAGAAGATTCGAGGAGTGTGCTTCGAATAACAAATCGCGCAGTTGTTCTTGTAGGGAAGTAATGATTAAGACGACGATCATCATTATACTTTGAAAAATGACGAATTCTTCAAAATGATTAGAATCGCATCTAAATCTAAACTGCAAAGACAACCGAGAGGCAACGGGGATCTGACAGTGCGCCGCTAGGGCGGTTGGTCGCAGGTCCCGATGATACAACTAAGAACTAGCCCGCAGAGATGAGAGATTAAGAGGGTTCAGTCTGAACACATGAAGACGTGCTGTAATGGCAGATCGAATGAGAGAATCAACGTACCTGGGAAGGAGTCCCGGACGATCCTGGGAAAACAGAGCGATGTCAGCAGAGGAGAAGGGGGAGATGGAGAAGTCGAGGCAGGAGAGTGACGGAGTGCGTGCGCAGATAAATAAGAGCAAAGCGAGGCAGCAGCAGATGCCGAGATAAGGAGGAGAAGAGAGCACAGTGCAAAGGGAGGCGACCTAGTCGTGGTGTTGGTGGGAAATGGCAGGGGCGATGACAGGGGAGTGCCGCTCCACCAGGCCTAAAATGCATGTCTGCCTGTGAAGGCTTGACACGGGCTGCCCTCCCTGCGAGCACCAGATCCAACCGGGACTGCGCGTCACGTCACGGCACAGCACGGCACGGCATGGCTCTCTACTCAACCCCCCCGCCGCTCGCTCTTCCCCCCTCATCGCCGTCGTGTCCAGGGCCGCCGTCATCCACGAAGGACGTCGTCAACCCATTTCTCGTCCGTCTTCTACTGGGGTAGGGCCTCCCTCAACAGCGGCAATTACAGTTCGTCCATCTACTTTTGCTGGCTCATCCATCCGATAACAAAGTCACTTGTCCGTACGTCCTGTCAAAAGGTAGTCCTTTATAAATTAACGCATTCGAATTGCGATTTACTATTTTCATCTTTTTATCCGCTTTTATAAAAATGTATGAATGATTGACTATTTTAAGTACGAAATATTAATTTTACTATTTTTATTGAAAGTCTTGGTTCTATGAAAAATAATAATAATCGTGAAATTTTACTTTTATTAGACATATTAAATATCTTTTTATCTTTAAAATCATGTTTTTTTTACTAACAGAGCTGATTTAAAACTGATGGAATCTTTTAAATTTTAATTATTGCAAATTAAATCACATGTCTCCAAATTACAATATTATATGACCTGCACACATACATTTGAAAAGTTCTGGTCGCTGAGTGATTATTTATTGGAGGAAAAGGGTGGTTGAAGAGAAGATGATATTTTGGTGCACGTCGTCAAACAATTAGAAAGAAGAAGGGTTATACAAGCAGGACCGGGGGAGACAAGGGGGAGGAGTAGAGGGGGGAGAAGGCGAAATATCAGGGGAGGGGCGAGGTGGGTGTGTGTGTGGGGGTCTGCCACAGCTGACGACGAGAGTGCTGATGCCAAGTATCGCATTCCATTGTGTCGCGTCGCTGCTGCTGCTGCGAGCTTAGCAAGAAGGCTTCCGATGTGGTACGTGGCCACCACCACGACGCGGTCGGTGGCCTGAACCTTTTCCTTCAGTCTCTCTTACTTTCGTTCCTCCTCTGGGTCGTTGCTTCCTCTTGTCTCCCGATCATTCGACCCCCCCCCCCCCCCCCCCCCCCGTGTGCGACCTCCCCTCTCCAGCTTGATCCAGCTTCATGACAGAACACTCCGAGTTCGGAAAGCTGTTGCAAAGGAATCATTTGGGTCCACTGTCCTTTTTGAAGCGTAGGACCCATTCCTCTTAGCCAATGTGTTGGGGGCCTTGTTTCTCATTATCTTGAATCGGTCTCTTCCTCAAGTTCCTCATCATCAGTCGTGGATTGAGTCATACCATCGAGACACGCTGAAGATGCTTTCTTGGGTGGCATTTCTGAAGGAAACTAGGGCCATATGTAGAAATTACAGGATTATGATTGGTTATAAGGGCCAGAACATAAACTGATTAAGTTTGCATTATGGTCAGAGAGCCACTGAACAAGAAAGTCCGTTGATGGATGATGAAAATGACTTGCTGAATAATGGCGTATCGAGTTGAAGAATGTGGGAGTGATCTCGGGAGGTGACCCAAGAGCTTGTCCATAATAGATACCCACTTCGATAATAATATACTTGAAAACTTTTAGCATGTGGTGCTATCTTATCCGATGACCTGTCAGTTACACAACATGCTTGCGTTTCTGCTGTGAGTCTGTTTTTTTCGGTGTGTTGTGCATGAGAAGGTGTAAATCTTTTCCTTAGTTCCTGATTACTTTACCATCACCAGCACTGCTAATGCCGAACAGGTTTTCTCTGCCTCGTGTTGCTCTTCATTTTCACTGCATTGTCAATGTTTAGCCGATTCCTGTTGATGGGTGCTTTTTGTGTTTCCGTAATTTTGAGTTGCCCGAGAGTTTCCTCATTATCTAGCCTTTTCGCTTCGCTTGCGCGTTCCCCTTCTGGCTTCTGATTTGTGGCCAAAAGCTCGCTTCTCGTCTATTCAACAAGAGGGTACAACGTTCGCACTTCAAAGAGCTTCCATCTTGCTCGAGGCATGAAGGTGATTTTGTTGCAGAGCCCATCATATTGAATCTCTTGACTTGAATTCACCTCGATCCATCACGCGGCTGCTCCAACTTATCCTCACTTATAAGTTGGAGGAACTGTGCGAGGAACTCCTCTAACCATGCGAAACGGTCAACGTTGTCAACATTATGCAAAGTTTACAAGTGAAGATTCCCCCAGTCGAATAGCGAGTGTAGAGTAACAGAGAAACCAATCCAGAGAAACAAAACATCTCATAACGACGTCAGCAATGGAATTAGAGGCAGGGTTAGTGCACAAAGCAGAAGGCAAATGTTGGACAGGAGGAGAGCGGGCCCGCAACATGGGAAAGGAGGGTGGACAAGATAAATGGTGAGGGAGGGAGAGGGAAAGGGACGATGATGAGTGTGGGGAACATTCATCCATGCATTCAGCCATTCATAAATACATTCATTCATTTTTCATCAATCCATCCTAGGCCCCTTTCCAAACTTGTGGGGGGGAGAGATTCTCCGGTGCCCGGCGAGAAAGGCAAGGGCGTTCTTGACAATCACAACCAATGACATCCACAGATGGCACCAGTTGAAAAGTTGTAGGCCTTGGATAATCTCCACGTGTCCTGCGCCTCTTGCAAGCTGCCACCTCACTAAAATTCTCAGCAGCACCATGGAGGCTGCCGGCCCTCCCCTCCCCCCGCTCCACTGCGAGTGTGGGAGGGGGGGGAGGCGGCCTCATTACCTGCCTTCCTGCCTGCGTGCTGACTTGGCTCACCTGCTCTGGCTGGACTCCCCCCTTCGTCACCCCCTCACTCTCACCCTGCTTTGACTGACCGATTGGCTGACTGCCTGCCTGCGTGCCTGCCCGCCCGCGTCTCCGTTGCCCCTCCCTCCCTCTCTCCTATCTTCTTCCTATCAATAGGTCTCCTTCTCCTGTCTCCGTCGCCTCTGCTCCTCCACTATTACTACTACTGCTGCTACTCTCCTCTTTGCACTTCCTCTCTCTTCGTCCTCCCCGCTGTCGGCCTCAGTATCTGTGTCGCGACTGCGTGCCCCAACCCGGCTGGCTTCTACGCTGTAAGTCTTGCTACACTCCCTTCCTTCCCCCGGACACTGATAGCTTTCAGGCTGCTTTTCTACCAACTTGTCCCACTCCCTTATCCTCATCTCTTTCATCCCTGCGTGTTCACTACTCTCCCTTCATCTCCCCTCCCCTCCTCTCTCGCTCACTCCACATGACTTCCTCTCTGCTTCTTAAGCGCCCTTCTAATGCTTTATCCTTCTTCCTGATTCCTCATTCTGTTGCTTACGCGGAATTTCTGACAAAATGGTATTGCTTCGCTTGTTGTTCATCCGTTTAGACGACCTGTGGATTTTCTTTTGATTTTGTGTCGGTGTGGGGACCGCAGGTGATGTTGTGGCTACGCTGTGCGAGGATGGCGTAATTGGAGTATTGGTACCTTAGCGTGCATCCGCTCTCCATTTTCGTTCTCTATCGACTAGAATGAGGTCAAGTGTTGATATTAGGTCTCATACCAGACAAAGTTTTTCATAAACGCTCTCTTTGACTTTTTAGGTCCTCTACGAAGTAGTTTGAAAAGAATTGGCGTGTACTACGTTGCATAGAATGCTGTTTCCTGAAAAAGTTTCATCAGCATAAGTAGCAATGACCACCATCTAGCTTCACTTAGCCAGATGATTTGAACCTTTTCTAATTCTTGAGTATTGCGAGAGACATCTAGATTTCGGAATCTAGAAGCACGTCATTGTATGCAGTGAGGTGTCATCAGGTGTCACCCGAGGGTTATAATTGTGGGAAAAGCGAGATTTCTGCCGGGTAGTCGGAAATTGGGGGAAGGTGTTCCGAAAATTTATAGAATATGGTAAGGAGAGCGTTACTTGTAGGGTGTAACTACCCGGGTGAGCCTTGTGAGCTGAAGGGTTCCGCCAACGATGTTGATCGAATGCATGTCCTGCTTACGAAGAAATTTGGCTTCAAGCCCACAGAAATTTTGGTGCTTGTGGACATAGATCCTCGCAGCAGACAGCCAACTGGAGCTAATATCCGCAAGTCCTTGGTACGAATTGTTGGTACTTAGATAACATCTGAATTGTTGGGTATGATCATTATTGCTTTTCATTTCGCATAATCGTTTTTTCATCATGTAGTGTATTTTCCCCTCATGGCAGCATCCGATGACGTTCACATTGGACCCCCCTGTCTCAGTTAGTATGTTGCATGAGCTGTATTTAAGTTTGTGAAGTCAATCTGCCGAGAATCTGCGGAGATTGACTGATTGTTGATTCTATAACCATTAATTGTGACTCTATGCATCCTCTTTTCTCACATTTTTCTTGTGGAGCATTTTGCAGCGTAAGCTCGTCGATGGAGCTGAGCCAGGAGACGTCCTATTTTTCCACTTCAGTGGACATGGCACTCAGGTCAGTAGATTCTTCATCATAGACTAAAATGCTTATCACAAAGTAATGGCGACATGGCGAGTATTGCGCAAAAAATTTAATCGATTTGTATGCGAAATTTTTGTTAATTACGGGAGGGAATAAGCAAAAGTACTAGCCGGTGGTGTTCAAAAGTTGAGAAGTGGGTTTGTGGATTATCAAGTTTTTCTAGACTACATTTTTTTATTTCTCGTATGCGGTTCTTTTACTGATCGCAGGTGCCTCCAGATCGTGGAAGGAGAGATGAGACAGGTTACGAAGAATGTATCGTGCCCTCTGATATGAATCTTCTTACAGGTAGTTGTCCTTGATAACTGGTGACCTTAAGTACCGCGCACCCGGTTGGGATTTCTCACTCAAAGTAGTATTAAATTTTGTGCATTTTTCACTTAAAGTTCTTGGTGGCATATTGAGTCAGATGAACAAGTAACCGTGCAAGTGAAGTGCTGATCATCTTACTTTTTGAAGCGAACATGGTGCTGTAATGGGTTCCATCCTTTCCGGCCGTCATCGAGACTTATATTTTTTTGTGCTTGGAGAACAGATGATGATTTTCGTGAGCTGGTGGATAGGATACCTCCTGGATGTAATTTCACCTTCATTGCTGACGCTTGCCATAGCGGTGGACTGATCGACAATGAGAAAGAACAAATTGGAGATCGGTATTCCATGGGCGAAGGGGGACCGTTAGGAGGAAGACCAAGACCACCACTACGACCCGAAGCAGGTGGTGGAGGCTTAACAGATTTAGTAGCGGAAGGGATTGAAGCCTTTTCTGGTGCAGGAGGTGGAAAACAAAACTCTTTCATGGGTATGGTTGGTCAAGCGTTGGGGTCACGTTTAAATATACGTGGATTGCCCGGAGATGATGATAGGGAATATGATCCAAAATTAACAGACCCTTATGCGCGTCAGCCAGGATCACCTTATGATCGAGGGTATGCTGACGGTGGTATACCATCTGGATACCCAACCGAAAGGCCGTATGACAGACGGAATCCAATAGAATCTGAGATGGGTGGCTATGAAGGTCGTGGTTCAGGATACGATAGACGGGAGGCAAGGGAGCCGGAGCGATCGTATGGTAATAGTGGGTACACCCAGAAGTATATGCAAAGAACACCAATGCAGGCAGCTAGGGGTTTTGCAAATGAGGACGTTGGGTATACTTCTACTGTAAAGTATATGCAGAGTGGATTTACCGAACCTCAGACAGGATATGCTGAGAGAGCATTTGGATATCCTACAGAAAGGACATACGATACGCCTGGGAGTTCATATGCTGGAGGTATTGATCCGGAGGCGACATATGGACGGCCATTGGAAGATCCTCGGGGGTATGGGAGGCCTTCGAAACGAGCTGACGATGAATTTAATTACTCTCCTCGAGGCGCATCATACGAGAGGCCTTTGAGAGCCGGTGATGATGACTACGGTTACCCAGCACGACCTGTGAGGCCTACTGAAGACGATTATCGTTATTCGTCCGAGGGAGCTTCTAGGAGACTTGAGAAAGGCGGTTATGGGTATGCTGAGGAAGACCCTTACGACAGGTAGTGGGTTTTTCAATATTAACTTGAATCTATTTAGTGATGCTTCTTTGAATCGTAGTTCGTGTTGTTTAGTCGAAGGCGAGGGAGTGACTGCTTTAGCAGAAGATAGCCACATGATTGACTGGCATAAATCTGGCTCTGTGAAGACTGCTGACAATTCAAGGGCTTCTGATTCCTGCAGATATCATACGTATGATTCAAGGGAGGATGATAAACGTAGATTTGATAGGGAAGGCTATCGTAAGGAACATGATCGACGAGGAAGGTACGGAGAAGGGAGTGAATATGAAGACTCCTCACGTTACCCTGTGAAGTATCAATCTGAATATTCAGTGGGTAGTGGTAACTACGGCGGTTATCCAGATGCTGGTGTACGTTATGGTGGTTACTTGGACAGTGGTGATTATGGTTACTCGGGGAAGCCTCATCACACACCTTTGAAGAACAAATCATTGCCCCTGAACATTCTGACATCCATTCTGAGTCAACGGACAGGACGCAGTGTAAAACCTGGCAACATTTATCAGAATCTTTACGACTTGTTTGGAGAAGATGCAAGCCCCACGGTGAAGGTCTTTGTTAGAATATTGTTGAACAAGTTGGAGGTAAGGACTGTGCTTATCGTCATGAGTTTGGAACTCGTGCTTTACTTATGTTGGGAGCTGTAAAAACATTGTGCAATACATTGATTCTTGATGTTTTCTTCTGATGTGTTTTGGAGTACAATATGGGGTGTTAATGACTTTCGTATCTACCAGGATGATTTGATTCTTCTGCCTCTTTTTGCTCAAAATATTTAAAGTCAGATTATATATATATATATATATATATATATATATATATTATAATCAACTCATTCTTATGTATTTACTACAGGATTATGAGGGTGAAGATGGCGGTCGGAGCCACGGTTTGCTAGGGAAAATTGGAGGTTTAGCTTCCTCTCTTTTGAAGACCAAAATTGATAACGACCCAAGCGGTGGCTACCCTGAAGACCGTCAAGGTGAAGAGTTGAGAAGACACAGACGAAGACAGCGGAGGAACTATGATGCCGGCATTCTAATCAGTGCGTGTGAGCCTCATGAGTCTTCAGCAGATGCTAACCCCACGAACGATCCCAGAGATGCTTACGGGGCTCTGAGCAACGCGATACAGACCGTCATTGGTGAGTCACGTGGGTACCTTACTAACAGGCAGGTAGTAATGGCTGCCAGAAGACTTCTAAACGAGCAAGGATATAAGCAACATCCGTGTCTCTACTGTTCCGATCGAAATGCTGATGCCTACTTTCTGCAACCCATGCCTATGTAATATCTCTAACCGCACTTAGGGTGTAATTTATTTATGATACACTGCTGAGATAGGCTCACTGCAGAAGTTGATCTAGGATTATCAACTTTGTAAACACTGTTTAATGATCTTAAGCACGTTCCTATAGCACTTCCGATGTATACATCTCCTAGTCTTATGTTTAATTTAAAATTTCAACTTCAAAATCCCTCCCCCTTACGGGTGGGAACATCTTATCTGATGCTCTGAATGTTTTGTGCTCAACATACATTAGCGAAGACAACTATTTCTTAAGAGAACAATGGTTACTGGACGATGTATTCGATTGTTTTTCGGATAATATGGTTAAATCCATGTACTTCAGTGTGGGAGCTGAATCTTAGGGAACTGAGGAATTGGAGTGTTATTGCTCGAGCGAGGTATTGATTCTGCCAAGTTGCAGCTAGGTTTTCGAATTACAGTGAATTGGCACGTCCAAAGACAACTTTTAACCGTGAACATGTCTTGGTTGATGACCCCTTACCGAGACTTTAAGTTGCATTATTTGAGCAATTTAGAGACTAACAAAGTTTGCTGGAAGGGATGGTTTCTATTGTAGTAATACAGCGAGAAACAAGGCTGCGCCAAGAAAGTGAAAACATCTTTAACCGCCAAACTTAACTCCATTACCTTGACAAGTATGGGATACTACAGAGTGTTAGAGTCTCGTCAATGTTGTTGAAATGAATCCTTGTATTCATAAACAAACGGTTGAATAGCTGCAGGTCAATACAAACCAAAATTGTGGTCAATTCTCACCTTGGGTCATTGCAACTTCCACAACTTCAAGAAACTCCTTAAATGTCAAAGGTCTTTAATTCTTCTAAATAAGACTTGTACAGCAGCTTTCTATATGGTTATTGCATGTGTGATCTCATAAACTTTTCTCTTCTGGCCATGCCTCTCTCACAGATTCATTCTCTTTGATGTCACCAACTTCTAAAATTACCAATCTTGTTTGACTTTCTTTCAAGTTTCCCAAGAGTTTCATTCTCTATCTCTCTTATATCCTTGCAAAATTAGCACATCACCAAGTGCAAAGTTGAGAGATCAGTGAGGGTGTGCAAAACTCTATGAAGTGCAGAGACAATTGGATTGATTTCAGTTTTCAAATATATATATGTATATATATTTTTTGTTGAAGTAATTAATTTTATACATATGTTAGAAAACAAAAACTTTAAAATGAGATTATTATAAAGTAAGAAAATTGTTGTTGTCAAGTACAATGAAACTAGAAAATTTGGAACCAAAACTAAAAGACAAAATATTTGTTGAAAAGATTAAAGTTAGTGTCAATTTTTCTTTCATATCCACTAGATAAAAAAAATAGAATGAGGATTTTTTTTAAAGACCATGAGATTTGTAAGTTTCGAAGATGTAAGATAGTTCCATAGTGGCTTTCTAAAAGTAAGAAACTTCTTGAAGTAATTATATAGCCATGTTATGCATCAATAGATCTGATCTATGTTTAAGAAACTTCTTTGATGTTTCTTAATAAGATGTTTTCTACCTAATCTATTTATATATATATATATATTTACATTTAAAGGAATAATAAAAATATTTTATTATTATTCCTACTACTAATGTTTTTTAGCCCCACTTTTGATTTCCGATTCTGGTAGTCATATTTTCTCGTTATGCTCTCTTAAATATGTGTTTTTAAAATAATTCGAATCATACAATTTTATTATATAAAAGTTCAAAAAAAATCATATGTCTATACAGGAACAAACAAACTGTATTTTTTCAATGTTCTGTGTTTTGAAGATGCAGAGCCGATGAACATATTTCTAGTACACAAAGATATCATTTGCCTCAATAGTGTAGATACATGTACAAGTCTGTATTATTAGGAAGATTGTGATTCCAGTTGTGGCCTGAAACCAAGTCTCGTTGGGAGGTGGATTTACACAACATTGTGCGGAATGAAACATGTCGTGCAATAAAATCTTTGGAATGAAGGTAGTCATCGTTGAATGAAACCCTCAGAGAATTCCTCGTTCTCACCCCTGACATCAATTGTGTCTACAAGAGGTCCATGCTCTGACGCCCTCCGCTCGGTAAGCTTTGTTAACTCTGTGATCTCTTCTTCCACTGCACTTTCTCTCCGACTATCCATTGCTTGACTGTCCCAAGTACTCGAATGTCTGAATAAATTTTTTCCTGATCCAGCAGCAGGGATGTTGTGGTCTGGAAGAGCTGCCCCGCGAGAGTCCAGTCGGGGAATTATACCACCTCGAGGATTGAAGTCGTTGTCGGAGAAACTGTTGGAGCCTGACGATGGCTTCGTCGTGGATCCTGAAGCACGGTAATCATCTGCCACATCTGCTAGCATCTGGCTGTAGGTGGGCGGACTGCGATCACCTGCAGGTATGGATTGTCTTTCCGTGTCCAACACTCCCACAATATTCGTCTTTGCTCCTTCTGGCTCACCAAAGCTCAGAATCTGAGTCATAGAATTGTTCCTCACCACTTGGTCCATTTCTTGGCCTAGCCCCATTGGGATGAGCATCGGCACCCTGTGCCGTTGGGGTGCCTCTTCACTGCCATTGCTATACAGAACATACTCCTGGTATGTAGGTGCAAACTGTATATCAAGCCAGTCAGAAATTCAAAATCAATATCTTGGTGTTCATATATATATATATATATATATATATAAGTTCAAATGACACAAAGTAGTGCAACACACTGAAGGATATTTATCAGTACACCCACCACGTTCTCTACCCCATTTGGAATTGGAATGTAGCATGTAACAAATAACCCGAAATATAAACGCATATCTACGCGATAAACTTGGATTGAAAGCATTTTTCTGGTACAAAGGATAGCGAACTACCTGATGCATGGTGTCGTAGACAAGGTCTGAGAAACTGAGTGCATGCAAAATGCTGTAGGTTAGGCTTCCTCCGCCGTTGATGTTAGAATCTGCATATACTTTGTAGGGGAATGCATATAGGTGCCCAACGGCCGCAAACAACATTTCGATGCAAATGGTGATGTTTTGAACATCCAGGGCGTCTTGCGCTGTCTTGATTATATCACCACTTGCAAGAAGAGCAATTATGACACTCTGCAGGTCGCAGTAATATTCATTTCAAAGAGGAGCATTTGAGGTACTTGCATATGAAGAAACTCAAAGAATTATCACGTGTTCAATGAGATTAATCTTGTGATAAGAAGGCAGTCATACTTGCCAGTAGGTCAAGAAGACAACTGATTTGATGATAAGGAACTTTGGGAGCGGCTGGAATGGCTGCAACATGGACTTGCAGGCCACATAAAACAACAGCAGAGCTGCCAGCGCCAGCGTGTATGAAAATGTGTACACGATGGTGATGTATAGGTAACCATTGGTTGTGGAGAAACTGCCGTCCTCATACAGATCCGATTCATATAACATCAGTGTTGCTGCCACCAACAACGGCTTCAAAATCACAAACTGGAGCACCCCTCTTTTACATCGTCGAATGAACACCCTGTGCGTCACCATTTGCAGAACACAGTTGTCAATGACATTGGTTCAACCCTTTAACAGCCTGAAACAAACGAGAGTACAACCTTGTGTCCACTACATTTCATTCAAAGTTTTGAGACAGAAACCTCTCTCTCTCTCTCTGATCAATGAATTGAAAGGGTGATAAATAGGCGTACCCATCCAGGGGGATGGCATCACAACAGCAAGTCATGAGGTGCCACGAGGGCTTCAGGTATCGGCCGTGAAGGCTGGTGGCTACAGCCCCTGGACCCCCAATAAATGCGATACACAATGACGTGAAGTTGTAGATCACCCACGCCTCGTATCTGTTTCATTTGATACACAACCCATTTCGGTTCCAAATCATATTGAGAGATTATGCATTATTATCAGACGCTAAACGGGTTCATGGTACATGGAGCAGCAAGTAACAAGTAGAAAACTGATTAATGGGTACTTGCATTCCACATAGAGAGCTGAAATAGATTGCTTCCCTCGGTCTCACTAATGCCAAATATGACATGAGCCCATACACCTGCACAGTGAGCGTAGTATGGAAAACAGCTCAGCAAACCTTGCTAGGAACGAAAGAAAAGCGTTTTGGTGTAGATTGGATGCAAGTTAACGTTGCGAAATTAGGGATTCGGAGCACAATTAGTATTTTAACGCACAGACCAGCATTCGTTTTTCCCTTTTAAATAACGTAAAAAGTGTAGCTAAGCAAACCACCGAAATTAAATGCAACACTGGTTCCACTGTTGCACTTTGAGGTATACTACGTATCTTTAAACCCTAATTTTATCTGATTTTACTCACAATGCTTCAAACTCTCTATAAAAAACGCAATTGAAGCTTCCCAATTAAACATATTCTACATCCTGACAACAATCCAAGAGTTCACTTTCGCTCCCTAAACTTGGTAATAATTTGAATACAGACATGGTGATTGACAACTAAACATCCAATGATAAGCTTGACGAAAGAAACGACTACAGTGCAACGAAATTAAAGACTTATTAAATTTCTATTACAACATGTGAAGGCAATTACGTGGATCATGAAGATGATGCGAACAGTGTATCGTTGGTACATGGGTTCTGTGTAATTGCAGAGATGCTTGTAAATGTGCCATGTTGCTATTACACTTGAACCAAGTGTGCATCCTCCTGCAAGAGCCTTCACGTCTCCTCCTGCCATCTCTCCCTCTCTCTTTCTCTCTCTCGATCCACTATCTGACTCCACGACGCATCCCCTGTAGAGTTGCGCAACTACAATTGTGTTCGCTTTGTCCGTGGAGCAATGAAGCAGAGCATTGAGGCAAACACTGCCGTGTTAATTCCTCCTTAATTCTCATTTTGCTACGCTATCAGTAATGACTTGACGTTGTTCCGTGTTAAACCTGTGAGTTTTTCATACTATGCAAAACTAGGTCAGGTTATATTGTTGCGTTCTCGACCGTCTGGGTACTTCGCCACTAAGCATAGCGCCTACATTCTGGGGTTACTCCAGATGAAACCAAGTGGTTAATTTGATGAAAGGTTGAAATATTAGGGGTTATGGGTCAGTAAGGGAATCAAACAAGCCTTACATTCCAATTAGGTTTTCAAGAGCAATATGATCCCAGCAGAAGAACAAAGGCAAAGTCTGCTCTGGAGATGTACCAACATTCTAACCGTTTTGTCAAAGCATTACGTGGGCAGACTTTGCGCATTGATTCGAATCGGACAGATATGGAAATTATTCTGCGGGTTAGCTTGACAAATGCACAGGTTTGTTGAAGCTCAATCCTCGGTTTGAAATGAGTCGACCTGAGGAAATTTCGCAATAGGCTTTGATCAACAAACCTAAATAGTATAAAAGATGAATTGCTTTTAATTGAAAAAACCCATTGAAGGTATACAACACTTCCATTCCAGCTGACTGTGCTTCAGCCATAAAATGGATAAGGGAGTGACAAACTAATAGGCCGTTTTCTCGGAGAAGAAATATCTACATTTGATATTGACGTCGTCTTCACTTATGCGAAACGCAACATACTAGAAAATGTAGCGAACGTTGAGGCTTCAAGTGATCACATTATCACTTAGCTTTTGTTGCCTTTTGGCGGCCACTTTGGATTCCTGACGTGTCAGCCCAGCTGCATTACCAGATCGCTCGGAGAATCTCCCACCCAGGAAGGCATCTACATCAAACTCTTCCTCTAATTTATTAGCATCCTCTAAAGCCTCGAGGCTTCCCACAGTCCTCTCATCCATTGGCTTCATTCGCTCCTTCTTGGACCATGGAAATCTTTGTTCTAGCTTTAAGAAATCCCTCAATTTGTCAATTGCTGGTGCTAACATGTTTTCCAGATTCACATCCCATGGATTTTCGTCTACAACTTCTGTCCTCTGCAAAGCACGTCAAATTCCTCCAATCAGTTTTATAAAAACAAAATGATCATCTACAAATAAACGCATCAAGCAGGACGGTAGAATGTGAATACGTAAAACAAACACGACAAAATATCCATTACCTGTTGAAGGCACAGACTTCGAAGTTCATCAGCTCGGACGGCATTGCCCTGTCGTTCCTCCATCGCTGCCCAGGACATCCATGTGGGAACGTTCTGAGAGTCCACTCTTAATGCACGCTTGAACAAAACTCTTGCGACTCCTACATTCCCTTCTCTGTCTTCTAAGATGCCCCAAGCCTGCAACAACAAATTCAATGTAAATTTCATCTCCTTGCCCTCTATCTGTTTCTAAATACATGTTATGAAGTTCGAGTAATAAAAAGAAAAGTGAGCAATGGACAGCTTCGCAAGATCCCCATAATCATGTCTGCAACACAGTCCAACCAGATTTTTCTCTCAATAAACAACCTGAAATGCTCGCACTGCATCCATAGACCTTGGGTCAACTGCAATAGCCCTCTGAAATAGCTCCCGAGCCGCATCTAGATTCCCTTCTTTCCACTCAACCCAAGCCCAAGCCTGCGCCGATCAGCCAAAATAAGTTCAACATAGTTATCTTTTAGCCTCTAAACAGGAAAGCAATGAAACCTACCAATTTTGAGAACGTCCAATACAGCTGAGTTGACGAGTTCACCTATTTGCATACAGTCGCCACTAAATAAATACCAACTGCTATGTAAAATACAAAAATAAATGCATGTGCTGAGAAGTAACATGCCCACCAAGGGCATGCATAACTATCCTTAAAGCCCCAGATTAAATCTACTTAAACGAATATAAATGATTAAATACGGAGTATCAAAGTGCGGAACATACAATCCAAGCAGGTTGATGTTGCGGGCCCACAGAAACTCCTCGTTTAAAAAGCTGTTTGGCAATAGCAATATGGCCACAATCGTACTCGAAAAGACCATAAGACTGATAAATAACTGGGTCTAGAGGATTCAATTGTTGTCCTCGTTGAAATAATTGACGAGCACGTTCTTTGTTCCCTTCCTTTGCCTCGAACAATGCCCAAGCTTGCCAAACATAACGATTCTTGGGACTGGCTTCTATGCCATTCTGTACATGTATTTCCAACTAACAATTAGTGAAGTGAACTCCAAATGTCCACTTGGATGATAGATATTTACTCGAATACAACTTAAGTGCATTGACAACATTTCTAAGACCTGTCAACAGGAAACCGATCCTGCGTGAACTCTCTTTAACAGCGATTCCTCTGTGAAGTACGATCAGAAGATGCATTCAGAGCCATGGCATACGTCCCAAGAAGTAATAAGCCGCGGCATGTAATAGGAGTTGCTCTAGCATAGTAAACCTGCTAAACCCAACTAATCATGCATGTGAGCGGCTCGCAGGATTACCTTGAAAAGATTACGAGCAGTAGTTTTACGCTCTTGGCTTGCCTCCATTAATGCCCAGGCCTCCAGAAAGGACAGAGGAGAGTCAGTCCTACTTCACAATCAATAACCTCCAAGAGGAAAAGCTTTACGGGTAAAAAGACATGTCAAGCACACTTGTTGCATCTAAATTTCTTCCAAATGTGGCAACAAGAGAGGACCAAAATTTATTTGAAGATAGTGTAAACTGCATGACAAAGATTTCTTTTGAATTGCAATTTTACCCATTCTTCGAGTAAGAGCAGAGTCATGTACCAGCCAGCTTGCTGCACTTTTAGGATTTGATCGAGTAGCCTTTCCAAATAAGATGCGAGCTTGATCATATCTACCCATTTTCACATCAAGAAGAGCTAGTGTCTGCAGGAGATACTCGTTTGGTCCATGAAATTTTAAACCCTTCTTTAACAGAGCTCTAGCTTTCTTAGTGTTACCCTCACGCAACTCCAAAACAGCCCAACCATGCCAAGCCGCAGGATGTGTTCGATCTGCCGCAGTGGCAGCATCGAAAAGCTTCCTTGCTTTACCAGTATTTCCAACCCGATCTTCTAAAACTGCCCAGGCCTGACGACCCATCCTCCATTAAAACGGGCACCTCTAACAGAAATGGGCAACAAAGAAACTGATCTTACACGAAAAGAAAAACTAAGAACAGATAGAAACAGAAAATCTAATTCATGATTGAGCAGCACGATCGAAGAGAGAAAGGCCAGCTTCTGAGGTATCAACAAGATCGGAGGCATGAGTAGGCATATGAGCACACCACATGACTAAAAATTTATTCACGGGTCATCTCGTAAAACTAGTCTACGACTTGCATCTTGGCTCCTCTTCAGAAACAACCAGGGTTAGAGGATAAAAGAAAAAAGCGCACCTGCCAGATATAAGCATTTTCTCCACGAACAGCCTGGCAGCCATCTTCAAAGACCTTCCGTGCTTCTTGCACCTTACCCAATTTTTTTAGCAATGTCCCTAACGCTACATATGGCCTCCCATCGTCTGGCCAGTCTCTAATACACTGCAAGGCAATCGAGCAATTAAAAGGCGAAGCGCTTGTGTTAGTCAGAAGACGTAATTTACAGGTACTGAAAGCAATCAAAACTGATTCTAATTATATAGCATCAGTCCTCTAGTCGATGAGGTGCAGAAATTATAAGTACTAGCTGCAACAACATCATACACGTACACGATAGAGGACAAAGTACTCATCAGCAGCGTATCACTAATTTTTGAAAGACCCGAATGGGGAGGGGATTTAGTTCTCATGTTCATGATAGATTTCCCCACGAAGAAAAAAAAAGAAATTGGGCATTTCGTTATAGGCTTCCAGAAGCTCAAAGCTTGAACAAGAGTCATCGACTGGCTCTTAAACCCATTCCATTGGTAATAGAACTTGGTTATAAGGCATAAACAAATAACAGAATTTGATTCGGTTATTTAGATTCATAAGATTACAATTTCAAGCTAAACAGTCAGGAACGTGGTTATTACGCATGAAAGCCGACAGTCCAAATAGTAAGAATCTTCACAAGATGCGCGTTTTAGGGGTTTAACACAGAATTTGGAATCGAGAAGATATCATTTGATATGAGATGGCGCAAGGGAAAACACCTGTTTAAGGATCTCCATTGCCTGGTTTTGCTGACCTTTCTGACGTAGAAGGCGTGCCCAGTACAGCTGCAAGTCTAAATTGATGGGGAGCCTTTGATAACGTGCTCCCGGCTTGCTAACCAGAGACAAGTTGCTCGAAGAAAATCGTCCACCATTCCCTGTTGCACTGCTCCCTGCTCCCTCCCCATTCCTCTCATAAACATCTCCGTTCTGGTCGGCCTCCTTTCCATCAAATTTTCTGACAGAAGGGTTCACCCACCTGTCTACCTTCTTTACAGGCAAAATGTAAGACTGATCCCGTGGTCTGTACTGCCTTTCAGGTTGCTTCCCACTAGAATCACTAGAGTCTTCGGCGGGTGCACGCCATACACGATTTCTGGAATTTTGTTCATTGCTAGCAACTATTCCACTCTCCTGCTCAGCTCGTGACTCGTTAGTAAATTCTGAATTGTCCTTTCGCCAAGACTGAAAGGTCACACTATCCAGTGCATCGGAGACCTGGCGTTCCTCATTCGTGCCACCGTCAGTTACCAGTACCCTTTGCGTGTCCGAAGCAAGCAATTTCACGTTGCCCGCTGCCTTGTCGCCCGAGACAACATTGCCCACACCACTCTCAACCTCGGTGCCGGAGTCGATATAATCCCAAGCTCCTTTGGCAAGAAACGCACCAGCACTATTGGAATGCAGCCGAAGCAGCTCGGGAGGACTAGGCGAAAGCTGAATAGAAGTCAAGCTATGTGAGTGGAGGGCGTGCTGCGATGCCGAATTCCGATGCAAAGACGAATTTCGAGAACACAATGCAACGGGGAGGAGGCTGGGGTGAAGGAAACCTCCAGCAGCCAGCGTCATCCTGCGCAACCACGCCCTGGATGCTCCTGCTGCTGCAGCTCCTGACTTCTCCGCATGGACAAGCAACTCCAACACTAAAATACTCCTCTACACACAACAGCCCGCACCAGAACTCTAAGCAATCTCGAAACCTAATGCAAACCAAGTTGGTACGACATCAAAAAGTGCAGGATGAGTAATTTGAAAAAGGAAGGACGGACAGGTGCAACGAAACTCGCAGCAAAGGTGGCAGCACCAAATGAGCGCCAATCGCCCCAAAAATATTATATTGTGATAGGGCGGGCAAGCACTAGAACGTGGTGCACCTGCTATCGCAGATCGCTGAGGGTCGGAAGACGGAGGTTTCTGAGTGCTTCGTAGCCAATGCATTCACCACGCTCGAAGAAGACGACTCTCGTTTTCCTCCATTACAAGCGGATAGAGTGCTGTGTCAGTGGACAAATCGGAGGCGCCCCAGTTCCCCTTGCTGAAATCTACCTCGGTGTCCAAATTATCGGGTATCAACCAACTGAAGACCCAGGTTTTCACTACCGGACATGGGTTTGTGTCCGGGTACATTAAATTTGCTTCGAGAGGAAACAGAATTCATCATGTGATGTGCGACGAGATAAATTTATGATTGAATCACAGTGGCAATTGCGATTCGATTAGGTCGCTTTCATGGAAGTGTTTCAGCATTTTGCAGTAGAGAGAGGGAGACTAATTCTGAGCCCTTGACGTTGTTCCCTGCATGTGACTGGGTATGTTATGGACCCAAGTGCTATGTGTCTATCCAAGCTCCTCCTTGTCTTGCCTTGCTTTGCTTTGACCTTCAATACCATTGTTGTTGCCGCTGCTGCGTTGCTACTTCCGTCTTTTCACTCATTGCCCTTTTTTCTCCCGAGTCTCTCTTCCGCTCGTGTGGTTGTTGCTCTCCCTCTGCTTCTTTTTCCTCGTCGCTGGTTTAGGACCCGTTCCTCTCAATTCTATTCCCCCTCGCATACCTCCTTTTCCTTCATCGCTACCCTTATTGCACTCGATACTACAATATCTTCTCTATAACGGGTCTCCTTTTCTCATGCATTTCTGTCATGTAGCTCCTCCGGGGAGTTATCCTCTGCTTTCTTCTTCAAAACACCATATCTGTATCTCTTTGTTTCCGCCCTTTTTATCCCCCCCACCTTCCCATGTCGTACAAATAATATGTAGCACCTCCGCGGCCTAAGTTGGATGGTCCACTGTCCATTTCCTCTCACTGGCACCAATCAATAACATCAATCAGTCAATTATCCCGGCATTTTGCCTCATAAGAATGCAAGTTTTTACGAATTTTGGGTTTTGCACGCGAACTGAGGAATTCACTTCTCTGGCAGTCATACTTCATGCAATCAACGGACTGCTTGTTTTAGTTTAAGGGAATAGAGACACAGAACCTCATGGATACTACAGCGGCAGCCGAGTTAGGGATGGGGGAACCTGTAGTAGGGATGGATGGCGCGGGTTTTTGGGACGCAGGGGCACCAGGCCTAGATCAGTGGGGTGATAATGAAGACGATGAGTCGGTCGAGAATGATTTATCTTGGGATAGAGCAGGACCTCATGGTAGTGCCGCTGTGGCCCAGGAGTACCAGCAAGCTTCTCATTCAGGGTTTGGAAGAGGAAGAGCTATTTCTGGAGCAGAACCTACACAGAAAGTGTTGCGAACAATGCCTGATGGAAATAGAGGCCCTAATCATCATAATCATAGTGGAAATCATCAAGGGTTTGGTGGCCACGGAGGCGGAATTCAGTCGGGAAGGGGTGGTTCCGCTGCCGGTGGAGCGGGGTTGGCAGATTTTGGTGCAGTAGGTTCTTCATCAGCGGGAGCTGGAGCTGTGGGAAGGGGGCGCGGAATGGGAAGCATTTTTTACAAAACGAAACTATGTAGTCGTTTCCGTAGCGGCAATTGTCCTTACAGTACCAACTGCAATTTTGCTCATGGGATGGAGGAACTGCGGAAGCCTCCGCCAGGGTGGGAAGAGTTTGTTGCTTCGCAAGAGTTTCCACCACCACCACCTAGTCAGCCTGGCGGTCAAGGGGGCTCAGGATCTGCTGCTGGTTCGACGGATTCGCAAGTTAGGTTTCACAAGACACGCCCTTGTAAGAAATACTTTGGAGAGGGCAATTGCCCTTACGGAGAGAAGTGCAACTTTTTGCACGATGAACATAGCGTTCCTCGTGCTGTTCGGGAAGCAAGAGATGCTGCTGTGGCTGCGGCTTCTGGTGCAGTTGTTGCTGCCTCTCCCAAAGTTGAAATGCAGCTCGCTCCAACAACGAATGGAAACACGAAGGAGGGAGAGGGAGGTAGCTCGACTCCTGCAGGTTCTGCAACTCCCAATGCTCGCCCTTCGAATTGGAAAACTAGGTTATGTAACAAATGGGAGACTACTGGGCATTGTCCTTTTGAAGATAAATGCCATTTTGCTCATGGGTCGGATGGTAAGCTTGTAGATAAGAGCCCCCTACGAGTTATGCAGTGTTAATACAATAATTAAGGATTTTTGTAGAAGGTGTTTTGCTACTTACTATCCAAGTATAATTCTTCTTTCAGTTGTCCTCTTAATCATTGCGTTGTTCTTGGCCCTTCTCGATTTTGAAACGTTAGGGAGTACAATCTATGTACGTTGTTTACAGTTGATGTTTTACTATTCAAATATCTGTTTGCTCTGGGGTATGATTTCCCACGGTTGCTGTACCTTCAATTTAGGTTTCAGGCTTCTTGATTGTTTTAGAAAGCTGGCACTGGTATTTGCAGTTTGAAATTTAACTGAGCAATAGTTTCATTTCAGTTTTAAAGAGCAGTAGTTTTGGGCTCTCGCTCTACTTGTGTGGGACTGGGTTTGTTTAATTGTACACTCGTGCATACTCAGGAGCGAATTTTTACATGTTGCTCTGAAATTGAATGATTAGACCATTATTTGGATAGAGATACATGATGCGCGCCTATCTGTGCTCTCTCATAACTCCAGTTTAGACCGTTAGCAAATGTCATGGATCCTTTTATTTGTGCAGCATCGGCCTTAGTATGCCTGTTATGTGTTCACAGAGTTGCAAAGATACGGGGGAGGGCTACCGGATTCAAGTGCTCCTGCTCTTTCTGACTCGAAGTCAGGAGGCACTCCTTCACAAGACACGGTTGCAGTGTCATCGTACCAAAGACATCAGGGAGGAGCGTCTTCTGCACGGTCTGGCTCGAAGGGGAAGAGTAACTGGCGAGGTCCAAATGAGATATCGACAATTTATGGTGACTGGTGGATAGAGGACGACGACTGGCAACGCGGGGCAACAACCACGATCCACGAAGCCGCTGAACCTGAAAGTGATGTACGGGGAGAGGTGCAGAGACGGACAACTTTTTCGGTTCCGTCTGCATCAACACCAAAAACAGTGCCGTTTTTCAGGCGCAGCACTGGCTTGGAGCCTTCTAGGCAACAGAATTTTACCCCAATTAACAGATGTGCAATCGTAGCTCAAATGGATGGTGAGGTGAACCAGCAAAGCTTTCAGTATGAAGGTGTAAAGGAGGATGTCTATGGAAGTGTGCTGCAACCTGAGCAAGGTTGGAGAAGGTAGCTCAGATAATTGGTTGCTCTTCATCCATCTTTCATTAGTTGCAGTGGTGTAAAGTTAAATTTCGCAACCACCGCCTCCATGTCTGTCTTTCTCTTTGATCTCATAGACTTTACAGACGGTAAATTTATAACCTCAGTTTGTCACTGGAAAGTTGAACCTGTTTTACGAAAGCCCGACATTACCTTGCCTTGTGAGAATTCATCAAGTAGTTCAAGCGCAAATGGGTGTTCATGCCTTTTGGGAAGAATGGAGTGTCGTCTCCGAACACAGGAAGATACGACGTCTTGTTCCTTATCTTCCAGGACTGTTCCAATCCCAGAATCCGTTCTTAAAGCACTTGGGTCCGCTTTGGTTCACAGACACTTGCTAATGTTGAACATTTTAGCTACTTAGAAGTATCTGTGACTGTGGCGAATGTGCTAATGCATGGAACGGTATGCTGTGCTAGTGCGTGTACATACGATCAGCACAAATTGCTCCTGCATTAGCCTCACTCAATGTGAGAAGAGCTGGCTGTATGAATCCTGGGAGACCAGTTTGCTTTTGACATGAGCTGATCCTCGTTTGCAGATTCCCTTTCGCTTGCTTCTCTTCCTCGTGGGAATATCATCTCGCCTTTGTTCTGCGCTTGGTTGTGAGCGCCACTCCTGCACTCACTCAGTGTTCCCCTCCTCTCTTTGATGGCTTTTTATCATACTTGGTTTTAATTCATGTTTAAGAGAATAAAACTTGGAGTATGATAGAGGGGAAAATCGGGGGATGCTGGAACTGGTACGCTAACATTAATCTGCCCTTAGTCTTGCCGGTGTTGAAGAATGGTTTTGTTTAAGATACGTAAAGAGAAGTCTTCACATCAGAACTAGTAATCGAATCCAATAAAACTTTAGCTAATCAGGCACTGTACTGAATTGATAAACACTTAATTTTTAATTATACTTTTACAGTGCATTAAATATAAACAATGTTTTAGTTATTCAATTTGGTTTTATTTTTCTTTTCTTTTTATTGTAGAATGAGGATAAAGTAATGATTTACAATATTACAAATTCCTTTTCAATTAGTTATTTGTGCCCATGCAAAACAACTGATGCAATTAAATTAAATACACTCAAAGTTTAGTTGGTATCTGAACGCTTCTTTCTCATCCTTTAGGAAATTTAATTATGATGCCCAAAATTTTATTATAAAAAATGATAGCAAAGAAAAATGTGAGACACAAATACAACGTTTAATTAATATATCTTAACCATAAATAAAAAAATAATTTATATTGATCAATAAAATTTCTAATAAAAATATATTAGTAATCTATAATTAAATTGGTAATCTAAATATAGATTACATTCCTCTATTGTTAAATATTTAAATTTATTTGACTTGATTCTATACTTCTTTGTTGTTGCAATTAATCACTATTGGTTTTTTTTTATAACTTACAAAGTTGAATCTAATTTATATATTAATAATTGCATATATTTTTTTACTTATTACTTTTAAGTATACTTATATTGTGCAAACTTTTATAACACTTTGTTAACATTGTCATAAACAATTCAAAACATAAATTTCACTTCAATGTTGGAATATATACACACATGTGTGCACATATTAACAAATTATAAAATTACAAGTCATGTTTAAGATTTTGTAATAAATTCACCTCAACTTAAAATCTAATTGAGTTGTACATTATTAATGGATAACATTAATTTAAAGTTTATAACTATTTGAGAGGAAGCATGCTTTTTTGTGAATCCTTGCTAAATTATTTAGGACTTAATAGAATATCATGCTTTTACTTGGTTAAATATTTATGTTCTATCAATTATCAAACATACAAAAATCCAGAAAATGTGAATTTAAGACTAATGTCAACACATGATCCAGTATCATGGAAAATATACGTTTGCTTCTTTATTGTGGACGAAGGGCACAACATTTGATAGAATGTTAATATTTATGTAGAATATTTTTGAAAAGAAGTTGTATTTATATTTTTGGAATTTTACCTACAGTTAAAAAGTAGTAATTTTGACCCCTGGTTTTATTTTGTAGTTACACCACTTATTGATTCTTCTAATAGGTTAGAGGTGACTATGTAATCATATAAATGTTGATTTATCAAAACAAACAAGAACAAAAAATGAAAACAATGGATCAGTTTGAAGTTTTGTTTTCTAAGCAGATTTTTCTTGGGATAAAATTACAAGCAACTTGCGAAGAACATTCTGAATTATACCCACTACATGTAGAAATGAAGAACATATAGAAATGATCATGCTCCATCCTTTTTTCCACTTTTTTCCTTTTTCTTCATCTGAATCTTTTACTTTTATCCTGTCCAGAGGTAGGTTCGCAGCACCTTCTCTCGACCGGAACAAACGTGGCAGGGTCATCACCGTTGTGGAGAGTGGTGAGAGGAGGTGACGAACGAACGTCGAGAAGGGACGAATGATAGAAGCGGTATAAATCATCTATGGATAGATGATGTGGGATGCGAACCTCGCCTTAAACCCTACCAATGGGGGCGGGCTCTAATGGGAGGGAGTGAGTGAGTGTTCGCGCAGGCAGGCAGGCAAGGCAGGCAGCACCACTCCGGTGCTTATTCGGTCGTCGCATAGCTCGGTAGAGGCGGGATGCTCTGCTCACCCGAGCGTTGTCTGTCTTCTAGCAATCCCATGCGATCACTCACCTCATAGTCGTCGCGGCGCGTCACCCTCCGACACCGCGCGTTGTCATTGTAGTGTGGGATCCTCTCTTCTGCTCGTTGCACCTGCACCGACGCCGTGCGCTCATTTTCGCCCATTTCACCAGGCTCTTTTCGTTTTCTATCTCTCTTGTCCTGCGTGGCTGTGGCCATGGCTTCGCTCTGCGTACCCTGTCCCTCTTCGCAATTGGCCTCTATTTCTACTCCTCTCGCTCGTCGTAAGTCGGCTCTAGCTTCGCGCGCTGGCGATGTCTTCCGACCTCATTCGCGACTTTCCTCTGCTCCCTTGCTTCGTTTGAGCTCAGGCCGTTGTCCTGTGCTGGTTGTCAGAGCTTCTGCGATGGATACGGCCAGCTCCAGCAATGATGAAGATGAAGCCGACAATGGTGATCTTCTCTTCACTCTCATTTTTTATGTCTGGATTGGTCAAATCGTTTTGTTGATGGATTATCTGCGGATGGTTGAAAATAATGGCCATTTTACCACATCGAATTCGCGTGAATCTGGCATAGACTTGCTTCAGTATCATTTAAAGGACTTATTTAGCTGTCTCTCTCGTCTCCTCCTAATTCTGAATTGGTATATTCGAGATCTTGTGAACCCTGAGTGACTGTTACGCGTGTTGGGACAGCATGAAACGCCATTTTTTCCAACAGACGGATTGGTCAGGGAAGTTTTATTTTAGGTCGTTCATTTTGTGAATTTTCCCTACGAAAGAACGTTATCAAATGGTCGAAATTTTGAAAATGACCGTCATCTCTTCATGTAATATTTTAACATGAAGTGTCCAGGTCAGGGACTCGGGCTTCTTAGGAAAAGAAGCTCGTGTTTCTGCGACTTGTAGTTCTTCTAGGTAACAACTGAGCCATTTTTGAACCCTTGGTTGCCTGTGCGGGTCAAAATGGATATAGCCGCGACTAAATCATTAGTTTATAACTATCATGTATCTTGGTGTAAGGTCACATTTTACACTGATAAAATGAGGTTAAAATCATCTACATTATGGAGTGAGACGTAGATCCGAAGAGAATGTGACAATTATCTGCTGCGGCTTTCTTTGAGAGAAACCACCGGTTTCTGCTAGTCACTTGAGCATTAAGGAGTGAAAAAAGGCCGAAAGACGTAGAATATACGATAGTGATTGATTGCCGTTCTCATTCATTTTGTCCAATAGTTGTAACCTGGAAGAGTGGTTCCTGGAGTTGCAGAGGTTACGCTTTTGGATTATGGAGCAGGGAATGTGCGAAGCATCCGGAATGCCATTCATCTACTTGGCTTTAAGATTCGTGAGGTTATTATCTTCGTCCATAGAATTTCTAAATGTAAAATGGCTTGTAGATAGGATTTCGTATGCTTCTTAGTTGAAGCCGAGTTATTGAAGTTATTATCGCCGAAAAGTAGGTTTCATTTTTGCAATAACATGGGGTTGTGGCTGTGCAGGTGAACGGACCAGAAGATATCCAAAACGCTAAGCGGTTGGTTTTTCCAGGTGTCGGCTCCTTCAAATCTGCCATGGAGGTGTTAAAAGCAAAAGGGTGAGTTTCAAGCTGTCGATTACCTTAGTCAGCAGCAATGCCTCCGTTTTCTTTTCGTGAGTTTGAATACTTTTTTTGTGAACTCGCAGCAGCGTGCCTCAAATGCTATGTGTGTAAGTACTTGTCGACAGTACTGTACATCTTCCCTTAGCGTTGGGTAACAGTTTTGAAGGTTCTATTCAAAATTTTACGAGATATATCTTAGGGTTCGTATTGTAACTGCAACTTATTTGTTCGCAATGTACATAACAGGATGACGGAGTCCCTTGTATCTTACATCAAGCAAGATAGGCCGTTTCTCGGTATCTGCCTAGGATTGCAGCTCTTGTTCGAGCGCAGCGAAGAGGGCGATAGTGGTACTGTTCCTCTTCTCATTCAATTTCCTTTCTCTATGATCGAGTCCCAAGATTCATCGTATAACATGATTGAACAGCTGCAGCAGATAGTGCTGCACATAATGCTGGTTAATGCTTGAAAGTTCCGTAGCTCTTGGAATTGATCAACTTGTTGATAAGTTGTAACACACTAGTTGACCTCCAAGGACTCACAATGTCCACTATAATATTCAACATTTTTGCATGAGGCAGTGGATGGACTTGCGAAATAGCTGCAGTTTTATCCCGTATGGATTCTAAAATTTGTAAGCAAGTTGTGATTCTGCAGCATTTCGAAAAGTCCGAGGGACTCTTTAGCACAAAGTTTCAAACAAAAATTTGTTGTCAGTTGTAGCAAGCCATTTAGATGAAGCTGTTAACCCTGAGCTTGAAATTAAAATTGACTTCGGCAGTGAACAGCATGGATTGTAGATGCCAAAGTTGATCATACCTTGCATATAGAGATGAACTGTGTTTCTCTAGTTGTAGCTGCAGGAAGCTTCCTGAGTGCTGGCTTTTCTTAAACTTAGATAAGGGGTTCACGTATTTTCTTACTAGACGGAGTGATTTGTCACACTGAAGTTTTGATGTCCATTTGCATTAAGGTGATTAGCAATTCATTGGTCTTCTTGTCAAGTAATACGGGAAATTTCCGATAACTTTATGATGGAGTGCAGTGTGTTGGATGCAGAGCAGATGGTCTTGGCATCATACCTGGTGTGGTTGCACGCTTTGACTCTTCAACAGGACTTTGTGTGCCTCACATTGGATGGAACGGACTGCAGCTACAGCAACCCTCTGCGTCTTTGTTAGAAGGTGTAAATGGTCGTCATGTGTACTTTGTGCACTCATATCGAGCAACTCCTGTACGTTGATTTACTGTTTACAAGTGAAGGTTCTATTTTTGTCATTCATGTCAGTTCTTGTGTACTCCGTGTATTCTCTTCACTGTATAAAAATTGCATAAGGTTTTTCTGTAGTCTGAGCATATCTAGCAACATGGTTTCACTGACGGTAAGGCATAGCATGATTCAATTGGGCATGGCTTGAGCAGACTGTCGAGAACAAGGATTGGGTTTTAGCAACATGCAATTATGGGGTCGACTTCATCTCAGCTGTTCGAAAAGGCAATGTTTACGCAGTCCAATTCCATCCAGAGAAAAGTGGTGGTAAGACGTTTTCATTTCTACTCGGTTTCAAATCACATGATCCCTCGTATCTTTCTATGAACTTCTTCAACTTATTGTTTCTTAACTTACTGATTGAATCGTGCATATGTTTGGTTATTTAGTGTATTTTGGTAGTACAGCAAACCGTGGGCGTGTGTGCACGCAGTGGAACTTGACCTGTGTTATTTTATGTGGATTTACAGTTGTAGGACTAGACATTGTTCGACGATTTCTTGGAGGGAATCACTCTGATGCTGCACAGGTATTGCCAAAGTAACTTAGTCGTCGCCGAATGGTTTATTTGTTTGCTCAAACTCGTTCATCTCGTAGGATTTGGGTTATTTTTATAACGTTTAAGTATTTCATCAATTCCTGAATGTTCCAGACCCTAACAATTTCCGTGTCTTATGTCAACAGGATGTTGAACGCCTGTCCAAAGAACGTATCCACAAGCCAGCCTCTTCACTTGCAAAACGGGTACGGGTGCAGGAAACTGTTTCACACTTATCTCCTTCACATGGGACTTTTCGACATTGAAATCTGTTCAAAACACGAAATCCCGGCGGACTTTGAGATTGGAAGGACAATCAGCTTTCCTTTTCACGAAGATTGAAAGGACCGGAATCTGTCGTTTCAATAATTCATTGTCCTTTTTCTGAAGATCGGAACGACAGAAATCTCACTCCGTTCACGTCGTATTGTATGGCAGGTTATTGCATGTCTTGATGTTCGAAGTAACGACTCAGGGGACCTTGTTGTGACTAAAGGTGATCAGTATGATGTACGAGAACAATCTTCAGCACGTGAGGTGAGCGCTATGCTTTTGAAGAGGTTATTACTCTTGTGCAGACTTGTATGATTTCATTTTTCTGAGGAAGATAGACCTACTTTGTAACATAGCTTGGAAGGGGAAGGGTTCCCTTTCTATTCATATTAGTCGATGCATACTTTATGTGTGATTTTAACAAGGTCCCTTGGATTTATAAATTGCTAGGTCCGCAATCTAGGAAAACCCGTGGAACTTGCAGGGCGCTATTTCAAAGAAGGGGCTGATGAAGTATGTTTCAACCTGCAGACTCTGTAGCTGCTTTCGTTTTTCTATCGCAAACTTCAATGAAGTGCTTCAGAAGTGATCAGTGCGGTCTAGATCAATATACTCTCATGACTTGGATTTTTTTTCGTTTTTAACAATCAGAATGCTTTTTGCACTTAAATGACTCTGAGTAGATTCTGTTTTGGTGCTTATTCTTTAATGTTAATGTTTGGCAGGTTACTTTTCTAAACATTACTGGTTTTCGAGACTTTCCACTAGGAGATATGCCGATGCTGGAGGTACATACTGCCATCTTTTTGTTCACTAATGTTCTTGAATGTACCCAGGGGAGTTAGGATGAACTAGACATTTGATGCATTTTCCTGATGCAGGTGTTGCAACGAACTTCAGAGCAAGTCTTTGTGCCTCTTACAGTAGGTGGTGGGATCTCCGACTTCACTGATGCCAATGGCAGGTTTGTTCTATGATGACCTGATCATGTTGTAGAAGACAATTTTTCACAGCATTTAGTAGCATTTCCACATTATTGATTTTGAGCCATGTTTTTTTTTGAGCTATCTTTTAGGTGGCAATGTTTTCTTTCTAAAATTGGGAGGGGCTCATAACTACAGTATCTTTCAGAGTTGTGTAGGAGAAATTTGATGGAAATGTTCATAGATAAATGTAAATGACCTGTTCATTGAGCTCGAATTATGCTGTCTAAGGAACTTAAAGCCCAGTTAATGTTTCTAGATTTAATGCCTCTTGATTCAATGTTTCCAGGTTTTCCTCACATGTTAAGCCGAACTTTTCATCACTCAATCCTGTATTTAATCTGTTCAAGAGATTGAAGTACTCTCATCAACTTTGTCATATCCATCCACAGATTTTATTCATGCCTAGAAGTGGCTTCAGAGTACTTCAGATCTGGAGCTGACAAGATATCTATTGGAAGTGATGCTGTTTATGCTGCTGAGGAGTATCTCCGCTCAGGGGTATAATGCCTGGCCTTTTGAAGATAAATGCTCCTACTTGCTTTCATTTTGCACTGGACACTAGAGACGAGTTTAAGTAGTTTTGGCATCCAGTTGCAGTAAAATAAATGTGAGGTCATGGAAAAATACAGTAATGTTAAGAGAAGTTCATGGAATACATAATATCATGAGGTTAATTGATGAATTGAGAAATGGGCAATTGCGGTTGAGTACTAATCATCTTAAGCTCTTTTGGTTCAACTATGCTCAGGTCAAAACGGGAAAGAGCAGCTTGGAGCAGATTTCATATGTCTACGGAAACCAGGTATGATTCATGTTTGATTCTAATAGTACAGGTTTATCCATCAATCAAGTTTTAAAAGAATTTTTTTCTCTTTTACATCAAGTCAGTAACAATGGCAGTTTGTCAAGTAAACATGTGGGATAGATGATCGATTAGGTCGTTAATTCCAAGCTCCTGACTGTCAATGAGAAGAATGACATGGATGGCATGTGCAGGCTGTGGTTGTCAGTATAGATCCAGTAAGAGTGTACGTTAAAGATCCTTCAGAAGTACCTTATAAGACTATTGAAGTCCAGGAGCCCGGACCTAATGGAGAGAAGTTCGCTTGGTATCAGTGCACGGTACTTCACGTTGTGGCTTCCCTGACTTGGAACTCATTTTACGTGTTTTATTATTAATAATCCTGGGTATCTTATGCACTGATTCCAATTCATGCCCTGTCAGGTCAGGGGTGGCCGCGACAGGAGACCTATAGGAGCATATGAGCTTGCCAAAGCAGTTCAAGATCTTGGTGCTGGGGAAATTCTCTTGAACTGCATCAATTGTGACGGTACGGGTTTGCTCTACTCTTTTTATCAGACTTGTTTTTGTGGCTTTCATTACGTCTTTGTGTGCCAGTATGCACGGCATGCAAAGTCAATACAAAGTGTTGACTTAGTCATGCGCTTGGTTCACTTCTGCTTCCTAACAGCAAATTTTTTTGTTTCAAGGTTGTTGATACAGTCGCGTAGGTTGATTCTATATTCTTTTTTATGTTTTGATAGATTCAAGTGAATGCTTTGTAAATATATAGTGTGCCAATTCATCGAACCATGGTTGGCCTGGTTCTTTTGAAACTAGGAAAAAGCTGACAGAAGTACAGTCTATAATTGGCGCAGTGGCGGTTAGCATTCACTTATTATTAAGAATATGTTTAGGTTATGTTTTCTGCAAGTTATCCGATGTAGTAGTGAGATGTGGTAATGAACTGGAAATTATGAAGGATTGATTTAATCCTGATTCCATCGATGGAAGCAGAACCGTGGCAGTTATACATTCTTATCTACCCCAAGAAATCTACTGGTCTTTTGATGTTCCTGAAGCATTAGCTAGTGCTTATGTTACATTTCTGGTCACAGGCCAAGGGCAAGGATTCGACATCAACCTTGTGAAGCTTGTATCGGACGCTGTTACGATCCCAGTAATTGCAAGCAGCGGTGCAGGCTGTCCGGAGCACTTTTCAGAGGTCTTTCATCGAACTAGAGCTTCAGCTGCGTTGGCTGCTGGGATTTTTCACAGAAAGGAGGTAAGTTGATTGGATTTTTAAAAGAGTTAGCATCGACTTTCTAGGCCTTGGCAAGGGTTGATTCCGAATTATCGGTGCACGTGAATATCAATCTTAAAGAATACCGTAGCTTTCTTAAAGCTGTAGCTTATATATGTCAGAGCTGTCCGCCAGTGCTGCAGTAATTTCCTCTAAAAGCTCTGTCAGGTCAAGATCAAGTTGGAGTTGTGACTTTGGATCAAGGCTGTCTAATTTTTGGCCAATTTAATACGCACTCTTTTAAAAATGTTTCTCTTGATAAGTGAAACAAGATGATGGATAGCGTGCATGTACATATAAATAAGAGGGTACCACTAGTTATCGTTTTGTTCGGCGGCAGTTTCCAAAATAAGTGTATTTCGTAAGTTGAGGACATGTACATTTAGGATATGATGTCTGCTAAATTTTCTGATTGTCTGCGATGTTTGAAAGCTGCAGGTGGAAATATCATCCGTGAAGGAACATTTGGTCACATCAGGTGTTGAAACAAGACTCTTGTAACAGTAGCATTCAGCGTCCGTATGCAGTCTGGCCTCCCATTCCAAGCGAGTTCTGCTGCACATTTCTTGCTTCTCCTCACCGATTGCGCGACAGACAAACATTGGGCTTCCGAGAGGTCATTGAAAAATTACTTGTAGGGCTATCTTTTGCCCTGGGATTCCGTCAATCATGTTAGCTTTATTTTATCCCAATAGCCACTCCAAAAGGATCAGTATTTCTTCCAAGCATCGTGACGCTGATGTAGTTTCCATCTTATCAAGTTGACCTATCCGTGAAGACTTGTATTAATGCAATGGGAATATAGTCACAATTACGAGCGTTTCGGAAGCTTTCTTATCCTTGGCCTTCTCAACTTATCAACATGCATGCATCAAGTCTGTCAAGGATAATATTTAATACTTTTCAGATTATGATTCAAGAAAGGTATGATTGGTTGTCTTGGCATCTTGACAGGGTGAATCATTTAGCCATTTTTGCCAACTCACTGACCAGTTTTACGTGAGGGCATGTGAGTCATCACGAACTGGCCTAGAACCCAGTAGAATGGAACACTCCCATGATTTCCTTTCTGAGATGACATAAACCTGAAAATGTGTATGAGCTGATGGTTCTGTTGACAGGCAACTAATGATCTAGTTCTCGTCAGTTCACAGACGAAAACCAGTTGATTCTTCTTAGTTTTGACAAGCATGCTGCATCCAAGCCAACGAGTTCACATTCTGGAATGCGGGGATTCCATGTTGAGAGCACATTATCCTTCCTACCCCTCCCTCCCTTCCGCAATCAAACTTTGGTCTCCACTCATTCCAATCTTCTGGTTGGTGCTGACTGGTGTCCATCATGTCAGTCCAGACACCAACTTCTGGTGGATGTGTAATAACTATCTCTGCATTGGTAATAATCATCTTACAAAAAGATGCCCTCGTAACGTCCATGATATGACGTGCCTTCAAAACTAGTAGAATATTTGAAGCCTTTTCAATGGATTGTGTGAATGCAAATATAACTAATGAAAAATACAATTTTTGTAGATATGAACCTTGGAATGTTGAGAACTCGCTCTTCACTTGATCTCCAACTATGTCCTCTTTTCATTTTCACTTTTTTACTTTTCCTTTCCTCCTTGGTATTTATTTATTATTTGGTGTTTAGAAGAAATCATTGAACATTTTTGCATTTGTTTAGAATGGTATGTGTACTGCATTCAAAAGGACTTGCCTTCACTCAAAGTGGTTCCCTCAATCTAAACCTTTTCCAGCTCGAGAATAACACAGCAATTAGGCACCCTTGTTTCTTCTTGATTATATTTAATCCTTATTAAGTTTCAAAGAACTCAATGATTTAATTTTTCCAGATGTGGAGTTTAGATTTGGTGCAATATGTAATAAACATTTTTCCTTTCTTTCATTTTAAATTGTGTTATATCATTTTACTAAAAAAATGATTACAGAAGGAAGCATATATATAGATATGTGTATGTATAGATAATGAACTGGATGCACACCCATACAGTTATTCTTGTTGCTATTGCTTAAAGAATCAAAATTCCATCACATTTGTTTCAATGTGAGCATGATATCAACAGTCTTCACAAAAGAATATTTGTATCTACACCCAATATATTCATACAATATTAGTTATCTGTGTTCGTAACATATAAATCTCAATGCTTATAAAGTACAAAGTTATTATAATTCAAATTTTGATAATACATAAATATGTCAATATTGAGTATAATAATTGATAAAAAATTGTTAATGGGAGAATTCACTTAGTTGAATGAATGAAGCAGAAACCTAACTTGATTAAGTTAATCTAGTCAATTGTATTGACTGAATCAAAATTAAAACTTGATGAGATCAAGCATTGATGAATACATATATCTTAGAGTAGAAGAGTTTAGGCATAAAGAAAAGTTAGGAAATAGATAGAGAAGGGATGAGTAGAAGAAGATATAAAAGAGAGAATATGAATAAGATGCAACAATTGAGGCTTTGTAATTTTGGCAATTTAGGATGTTGTTGCAAGAGAATAAGGTTTAATATTGTTATTGAAATCTTTTATATTTAAGGGTTAGACAATCAATAAACCATTGTTCAAATCTAAATTAAAGAAGAATGTGCATAAATCAATGACTTAATTTGAAAGAATTCTTTAGATTATATCATACTCTAATGTATTGTGTCTTAAGTTAAAATCTAATTCTAAAGTGCCCAAAAGTGGTGTAGGTTAATGTGAGTACTAATTTGTATGTTGATTTAGTTGTTGTAATTCATAAACAATACGTGTGAGAAAAGACAAAGGAAGGAGACAATTCAAATAGAGTAACATTGAATTGTATTAGTCAAAGGTAGGAATTGGTCTGAAGTGGAAGAAATTTGGCTAATTTCTGATGTTGACTAACTAACGACCATATGTTTAGGATCCAAATAAAAAAGATAAAAAAGAAGGGTATTACTTTAGACAAAACAAATCTCAACAGCAACAGGAATGTGAAGAGAGATTCAACAATATTTGTTAAATAAATCAATGAATTGGATTAGTGTCAAAGTTTCAATTTGTAAAATTACAAGACAATCTACTATTCAGTTTAATTTAGTAATAATCTTGGTAAGAATTAGAAGTTGCAACCATAATATTAAGTAGCAACAAGGTTCCATAACATTTAGAAGAATGAAAGATTCTTTCTAGTCTTTACAATTTTGAATGGCCAAAAAATATAAAATATAAAATAATTATTTAAAAGATTTAGCAAAAATAATTATAAAATAAAAATAAATTTATACTACGATTTAAATGTAGAATATTTTAAAACTACATTAATAAATGGCATTATATAATTTAAAATCAAAATGATATAAAAAATTAATTTAATTTAGGTCCAAAAATCCATCATTATATTTTAATATAATAGATTTTACTCATTAGAAAAAATTTGGCTGTTATAAACCATTTTTATATAAAAAAAGTATGTATATGAAAAAGCATAAATTTTATATAATTACAAAATATAGAATAATAAATATTATTTTTATAATAATTTAATTCTTGTTATTTTAGTGTCAAAAAAATATTTAAAGCTAAAGTTTTTAGATATAATATTTTACTCTACTTACACTCTTACTATTCCTTTTTAATTTTTAATACTACAGGACTTCAACACTTAGTTATAAGTTTATATTTATATTCAAATAAATTTCAAGTAATGATGCAACACATTAGCATAATTAATAGATCATTATGTAATTTGGTTTTTTATTTTATATTATTTTTTCATCTTTCCTTTATTTTAGTATTTTTTAATCTAAGTAGAGTAGAAATAATGTCATAAGTAAGTTAGAAGTAATTTAGAAGTAATTTAATTCAAATCCAAATTACTATACATTCTAATCTTCATAAAATTTATATATTTTTTTATAAATAAAGACATATGAATAATCAATCTCTATTGAAAAATGTATTTTAAATAAAACAATGAAATATTTCAAATATTACAATCAGACCATAAAAATTTAAATGAAGATAAGAAATTTTTCTGCAATTGTTTAGGCATAAAAGTATTAGGATTTGGAGTTTCAACAAGAAGGCAACATCTACTATACTGAATTGTTGTATTTAAAATACATTTTTCAATACAATGATATTTTAAATACTATATTGAAGGATGGTATTCTACCTTCAATGTTTGTACCTCTATTTTGAAAGACAAATCTTCTTTATTTACAAGTTAGAAAGCAACAAGATTTGTCTTTATGAGTAAAATCTAATATATTGATTTTAATCTTATATTATCTTAAATTATTTGATAGTTCTTTAATTAAGATAGTTGTTTTAAAAAATTTAAAGAACTAAAAAAGAAAGAAAGATACTGACTAAAAAAATTAATTAGAAGATAGTTAGACAATTTGATGTTGAATGAAAATCCATAAAGGCATAACAATGAATGGCACAAAACATTAATAGAACATAAAAGTCAAAAGATTATCACTTCAATTTGGCAAGGCAATAAATTCCCTTCTAGAAAACTAAGTGCCACGGCCTTGTCTTTAATTACCTTCTATTAAATCTAAGCTTATTGAACATTAGCTTCAAATGGTACCTTATTCAAAAAAAAACAATGAGTCCTTGAATTGCCTAAATTTTCTTTATTTTTCTCTCCAGAAATAAATCTTTAATCTACACCATGAATTTAAAGGCACTAAACCTTTGGCTACAAAAACCAACACTTCTATCACATCCCAATTCCACTATTATTACTTCTTAGTACTTTAGAAATTAAATTTTATTAGCTCTTTAATATAATAATTTTATTTAATGACTAAAATAAATTAGTCTTTACTCATTTAGGCAAATTAACAAAAAAATTGTCTTTGCACCTTGAGATACTATTATTATACCTTTATTCCATTGAAGATATCTTTGCATGCATTAAGATAGAACTTTAAGAAATCTATCATAAATATATGGTAATATTTCAAAAATACTAAAAAGTTTTTTTTAAAAAAATCTTATTTATATTTTGTTTTTTTTATCACAAAAACTCTAAGATTATTATAATCCATCATAACCTTGTTTTTTAAAAAATACGTTTAAAATATTCAAATTGACTTTAAAAATTATGGTGGTTAATTTAAAATTATTTTAAAGTAATTTCTTATATTTTTTTATATTTTTTATAAATATCCTAAATAAATTATTTTTTTACTTATAGAATCTTAGAATAAAATTTATAAATAAGAAAAAATTAAATATTCAAATTACTAATCTTAAAATATCATTGTATTATTTAGATCAAATATCAATATTATATCTAGAAATAATTGTAAATATCAATTTCATATGAATAAAATATGGATATCATTAAATTATTACTAAATTTGTTTACATATTTAGTATCAAATCTCTTTTCTAAAACTTTAAGTATCATTTAATATTTTTAATAATTATGATATCATTTAAAAAAAATTTTAAAATAAAGATCTAACATAAAAAAGTATAAAAAAATAATTTTTAGCTTCTAAAAATATATATACTATAAAAAATCTTATAATATAAAAAATATTTATGTATTTTTACATAGAATTAAAATACTAATAACTATTAAAGCTAGATAATTTTATCATTAATAATTTTTTGTATTATAAAATTAATTTATTTAATTTAAATATTTATTTTTTTAAAAAATTGAATAGTATAATTTTATTTTCAAAATATAAATACAACTCTCTAAAATAATTTATTAAAAAATTTGAACATAAATTCAAATTTTTTTTATTTATTTTTATTTTTATTACACTAAAAAATTATATTATCTGCTTTTAAAGGTATGGTTATTG